TTGACAATGAGAAAAAAATATAAAAATGCATTTAAAAGAAAAAAACAACATATAAACAAATTATAGCTACACAAAACAACGATAAATGCACAAATTTAAGTTACAATCATGCTAACACGATCCGTCATAGCGACACAAAACAACGATAAATACACAAATTTAAGATAGGCCTACAACCATACTAACCCGATCCGTCTTGGGGGTTATGTTTACACAAACTCAAATAGTAAACGAATGTACTCAAGCGTTTCATTGAATTGAAAAATAAATAACAGCAATTAAATTATACAGCTGATCAAAATGTAAACAATTATGTTCTTCATAAGGATAACATGGGAACTTTCAAAGCCACTGGAGCAGAGCCCAAGGGACTTTTTCAAAAATGTAAGGCCAGTTTGCAAATCTACGTGACACGCTCTTTCCAATGAGACGTCAATGGATAAAATCGGTTTAAGAATTGGCGGAGGAGTTCAACCGACAAAGTTTCATGTAGCGTATTAATTATATAGAATAGGGGAACTACTGGAACCGGGGAATGGTCTAGAACGGGCAATATATTCTTAAGCCATCTTTATTCTACATTTTTGACATTTTTTCTTTATTCTATGCTCAGACACTGTAATCAACACAGTGTCTGAGCATAGAATACGTAAGCTCCATTTGCCCAGAACAGGTTGACTTCTGACACACCTTCCTACTTTCGAGCTAGGTAGTTGTTTACGCCTACTCTTAAAATCACGTGGTCGAAAACTTTCAACGTGAACTTTACCAAGGTGCGGCTAGTCTAGTCTATATACTGTAACTATCTGATGCGGGAATTTTATTGGAAAGCATCATTAATTGTTCAAATCTTTCCAATTGCTAGCTGCGAGTTTAAAATTAAATACAGTTTTTATAAGGACAAAAATTCTACAGCAACCGAAATTAAGTCTTCTATTATAAATGTTGGGCTTTGAATGCTTCTTTTACGATGCCTTTCCTAACAACAATTAATTTATTATAATAAATTGTTAAGGGTATAAAAAAAACATAGGTGGATTTCACATTGACAAACTGCTATGCGGAACAGCAACGTCCGTATAATAGCGCACAGTAGTTTAGTGATGTATTTCCCAATAACATCTTTTAAATTTTCGACATCCTTGACTCATTGACACAAAATTTAATCAGATAATTTTCCACAAAGCAAACTCAAGAATGAGACAAAAAGATAGTAGCGCAAACATCAGTTATTCGTGTCTCTAATATCAGGGTAGTCAGCTGAATAAATCAACCCAAACAGAACACAATCCACTCAAAACATAGGGTTGTACGATCTGCATATTCATACAACAGCGATCATCTGCATACACTGATGTAGTCATGCACTCCGGATGAGAGGAGGTTCACCGGACAAACGGGGGTAAGAGTATGAAGTATAGCGTACAGTGTGCAAGACAATCATTTGAGTTATCCGACTTGATTGTTGAACCGTATGTCTATTGTTATGGGCGAGATGACTTGTTTGTGGCTTTGTTACGGATAACGACCGGGTTTCTTTAGTTAGGCATATTTATTGAACAACCAATAATTAGTGACAGCTAGGTTCAGTTTTAAATTTACGACAAAAAATTGTTAGGGTAACCGAGTACTCATAGTGCTCGCCTTCAAATCTGAAGGTCGCTTGGTTTGATTCCAAGCGAGATCGTTACCACAGATACCATTTGGTCGTGCATCAATTGAATATGCTTTTTAACAACGGGTCGAAGTTAAACAAGACCAGGGTTTGGACCCTTGCAAAAAAACTTTAATGCCATTGGTGTTAGATAGACACAATAATAGACGCAAAAAAACTACTGGTGGCTTAGTCAGTTTGGTCTTCGGTGGCGTGCCGGGCATCGGATCCAAGGCAGCGATGTCGTAGTTTTATAAGTTTTTATATGATTTTTCTCAGGATTGAACCAGTGAGCTTCTGAATCAAACAAACACTACACCTACTTTGCTAAGCCAGCTAGTAAAATACACTACATAAAACTAAAGAGAGAAGAATTGCAATAGTACGGTAATTTATAGTGTGTATACAAAACCACACTAGACGTAATTGGAATTTACGTGTTTGAGAATTTATTAATTTTCAATCATGATAAACATTAATGCCTGCATATTATTTAAAATATTCACAAGTAGGTTCAGTAATTTTGCATCGTATTTTCTTGGTGTTCTGCATGCCCCATAGAGATACATCGGGGTTTACATGAATTGATATAAGTTATTCCTAATTAAGTAAACGTTAAACTCCAAATTTAAAAAAAAAGAATGTAAAACACAGTCAAACAAATTTTTTAACATTTTCCATATCGTTCGAAGTCCTAAAACTACGTATTTCAGATTTCAGGTGTATTGAAAGGTATTCTCTTGTATGTGATTTTCGTCACCGTAACCGAATAAATTATTTGATTCAATAGAACTTTCCAATTTAACGCATGTTATAATCTATGACTCCTTCGATAGAGTGGGTTATTTATGTTATACTTTTGTGAAGAATCTCATCAGCTCGACAAGTAGAGGTGATTCATTCTTTATCTTAATATAGCTACTTAAATAAACAATCGTACTGATAATTAATCAGTAAAAATGTGTTGGTGGAAAACTAAAAAAGAAAGGAGTTTTTTTTACAAAACAGAGTGATATTTTTTTTTTAATATGCATTTAATCTAAGAAACATAATAGATTCTGCGGTCATTGCATTATTATCGAGATTAAATAGCTATTTTCCTACAGTCCTAATAAAGTGGTTTTCCTTGCAATTATAGCACAGAAAGTTGTTAGGCCTAATAAACACGTATTACGTGTCTAATAAAAACACGCTGTTTTGTGTTGTTTGGTTGGAATACTGGTGTGCGGCAAAAGTAAAAAGTGTGTGTCAAAAGTAAGTAGATGCAGCAATTAGCAACTTTCTGTGCTATAATCAGTGCAATGAAGGCCACTTTGTCAGGTGACTGCAGGAATACAAGTTTTTATCACGTAGACATTTATTTCAAAGGTTGTGTTCAGCGACGAGCAACTTTTCATAAACCCGGGAAAACAGTGAGGAAATCAGATGCTGCGAATCCACAAGAAACAATTCAGCACTGACTCGAAAACGTCATTCACCTGACCCGTATGGTGTCCCGCACTCGACTAACTAACTATCCGTGTAGATAAATTTTAGCCAAGTTTTCGACCCTTACTTCTTCGACAGTGCGTAAATAGGTTACCGGTACTGTATCTGGAGATGTTTGCGAATTGGCTGTATCCTAAAAAAAAGGTGTTTAAATTCTGTATAACTTAGCCACAGGCTCTATAATATTGTTTTAGTTAAATAGGTACCTACACTTTAAAATTTGCAATACATTTGAAAGTTCGCACTACTTTTTAGGATGTCAAAGGTGTTATTTTTAACCAAATTATAAAGTTAACAGAGATTCTTGTTTAGGTTACCTTATTCGAAAAAATAATATCGATAATCTAAAAATTTCGAATGTTTTATTTTTTACGTTCACTAGTGGAAGAAAATATCATACTTTTAAAAATGTTGGTTTCAAACTCATAAAAGTGTTGTGTATTATTTATACGGTTATATTGCTGTTATTGTGTAAAAAAAAAACATAACAAACACATAACGCTGTATGTTTTGAAGAGTGACAAACATAAAACCACTCTGTTTTAAACAGTGAGTCAGCATCCTTTTTAGCGCAGGCTGTAAGTTATAAGGCTTCAAGGTTGTGCGGTTTTACGTTTATGAAACTGTAAAACCACGATGAGCCTATCCCAAACTTGCTTTACGTAAAAAGAGGGGATCATAAATCATAAATTTAAACTTTCAATTCAAGACGTTCGAAAAGTCACGTTTTCTGCCGTCAAGCAGCTATAATCAATCTCTTTTAGCAACGGTAACTTTCTATTGATCAATTACTGATGTAAATAGTTAATAGTTGTTAAAATTTTGCTGTCGAAAGAACTATCATCTTTGTCTATATCACAGTATTGAATATTTTATATTGTCAATATTATTAGGTGGAGAGTGGAGACGTAACTTTTAAATGCTTTGATGTATCAACACCCAAATATGAATGAAACGTCTCTGATTTGTTACATGTAAAATGAAGATGTCCGTAGTGATAAATAAATAAACAAAAGACTGGCGTGGACGTGGATTTTCAATCGTAATTGTTTTCTCTGCTATTGTTATTATTTTGAGAGGTGGCACACACATACGATGACTGTCAAATAGAGTGAGATGATCAGTGTAGTTTCGTTACAATTACAAATTACAAAAAGACCAGCAAAAGGCAGGTATCTAAAATCAGAAAATGATCAAAGCTGTATCAATTTCTAAACATGAGCCATTCATTCTTCTCTGGATCAAACCATTTATCATTCTTCAGTGAATACTTTGATTTGATTAACTAACTACAGATTTGCTATCTTTTTTTGTGTACCGTATTGTGAAAAACGAACGAAAGTTTCTTTTAAAATCAACATAAATAATTGGCACGGTATGAAAGTTAGATCAATAAACTACCTAAGTTAATTCGTTTAAGCGAATTTCCGATACAAAACAGAGGAACAAATTAACAAAAAACAGAGAACAAAAAATTAACTACATGGCCGACATTGTTTACTTCTTGATTTTTTCATAAATAATTACGTGCATATATAGGCATTTATTCTTATAAAATTCATTATATTAGTTTTAATAATAATGGTGAAAGAATGCAACTTTTCGTTCACTATAAGAATCGTTTAAAAAATTCAAGCATACAAATGACTGATGAATTTGAGAGTAATTTAATATAAACAGTCGTTAGTTTATCGTGTTCCCCATTAACCTTCTGGTTTTTTAAACTATAAAACACACATACACACTGCTATCAACAAACAATATTTATTCCCCTCCATACCAAAGGAGAGTTTTGCGAAACCGGCTCAACCACTGGTTGATCGGGCTCAAGAAACTTGAAACAAAAACACAAACTTACCGTAATCAGCTTCAGTGTTATCCACATGTTTGGATGGTTCACAATCACCACATTGTCACACGAAACACTGCCACACTGAGCCTAACTACAGCAACAACAACAACTTCACTAACACCAACACCACACACCACTGCGTGCGACTGCACTGCACCGAATTTAATAACTGAACGAGAACGACTAAACGACTGGAGCGAGGCGAGAGCGAGTGAAGTGAGCAGTCAGCTAAATTTAGAACCCGTGACTGTTCGCAACAAAGGTGTGGTGGGGGGAAAGGGGGGTAAACCTCCCCCCTCTCACCTTATCTTGAATACTGATAACCGACACCTAGGCATCGCCTCGGCCGAAGTTCATTAACATTTGGAGTGATAATGATGCGTTGGAATTCACTCTTTGAAATTAACTGTGTAGACATTCTAGTAGACCTATTCAATTTATCGAAAAAATTCATTTCTGGACAAAAAAAAATCGCTACGTGTGCACCAAGACATCAACCAACAAATCGACTGTGTGCGCTTAGCCTATCTGAAAATCAATAGGTATACTTTGTTTTTATTTATTTTTCCAGTGGTAAGAACTATTTGAATTATTTACCTTGTTTTGTAGTCTTTCTGCGTTTATACAAGAACAAGGCAAATCAATTTTGGGTTCATCCGATAGTAAGTCAGAGATTTTAAATGCACTGTTTTATAAACTGCACACTTGTTAACGTGATGACAGTAAAAGTTCTTTAATTAATTACTATGGAATGTATGTTAAAAGTTTTGATAAACTGTTACTATTAGTTGGACAATGAATTTTTTGAACAATGTTTTACTAAAAAATACCTGTTAATAATATATGCTAATCCAGCTTTGATTGAATAGGGGTACCTGTCCAAAGAAATTTAAAAAAAAATGTTGTCCAACTTATAGTAACAGTTTATTAAAAACTTTCAACAGACATTGCATAGTAAATAATCTGTAACGTACAGGTTTATTCACGTGCTTGTATCATTTATATTTTTTCCCCGTAGATGAGGACGGGGAGAATTTCCCTCCCTCACTCAATGACTCGCGGATCAATTCTCGTGTTTCAAGCGACCCTGCGTTATCTACCTGCCCGACCCCCGGATCAGTTTGTATGGTCCAAAACTACCCTATGACCGCGGATCAATTCGTGCACACTTGTATCTGAGTGGCATATAGGAGGTTCGGGACTACAGCACAGACTGTAGACACATAATATAATATATAGTAAAGTACTCTATAGTTTGTGTCTACAGGTTGTTTGGACACAGGAAAGACCACTCTTCCTGTGCCTTCATTGATGACGCTCAAAGGAAGTAAAATCGTACTACTATTGCAATTAATCTGAAGAAGTTTGCAAGGAAGGTCAGTTTGGAGGTTTGATTTCGCCAACTGATGGTTAGGAGAGTTAAATATGGCTAATAGCTATTGGTACCGGTACCACAAAAGGCAATTCTAGATTAAAATCTCCAAACGCACTGGATTGACCATGTAATTTACATCAACAATCTTAACTTGCGATGTCCCCCTCGTAGCCTATATTCAACTCCTATATCCTTGGGGATTTAAAATAATTAGAGATAAGATGTAAAAAGATGTGATAACGTTTATAATATATCATTACTGTGACCAACACACATCCCGATGTACTTAGAGATTGCTAAAGCAAAATGATTGTTTTTACAAGCACCTGTAAATTATTGACTGCACCAGTTTTATAGTGACGTAAGACAAAAAGTGGCTTAGAAAATGAAGGCGTTTCAAAAATCCTGGAACTAACTCACTAACACCTTTTAGTTCTTAAATTTTAACATAAATACCATATTGGCGAGTTTCCCAAAAATTAAATAAAGCTATTACCGTAAGTTTCATGGTAAGACCTACATCCGGGACTGATGGACTTTTTTTGTTTTTATGTCCCAAGCGGTCAAACATACCAAAAACGCATACAATATATGATTATAGAAATTATTATGATTAGGGCTGCTATATTTATAGTTGGGCACATTATTTAAACATTCTAACATTCAGTACCCTCTTAAAAAGTCATTTTAATTATAATGAAAGTTAATTTTCATTATTAAATTTTTTACTCCAAGAAATGGTTTTGTGAGTCAAAATAAAATAAAAATCATGAATAGCATCTATTCCAGAAATGCTTAGTTAGTGAGCCATTTTTTCATCTTCATAAGCATTAAACATATACTTATTTATGACATTCGGTATACAATTTACAGTACCTAGCAATAAACTATATGCGAAAGTGTTTTGAGCGAAGGAACAAATATGGGTTTATCAGTAAGAATCATTATTGAGAAGTAATATATCTTATTCAGTAAGTGTTTTGTTTGGTCATACAAAACAAATGTGGTATTGTGATTTTGCATAACAACGCCCGACCCCACGCTGTTCATATAACAAAATACCTTCTGGAAAAGTTCAAGCCCCTATTTAGCAGCCAGCAACATATATTCTTGCATGGTAAAATATCACTTGTATCTCAGCTCAGCGGTTATTTGAAGATGAAAAACTGAAAGATGTGGTCACATACTGGCTTATGGTACTTGCAGTGGATTTTCTTAAAGACTTCGAAGCTTGTAAAAGATTTATTATCATAGTGCTAAAATGTGTATGTTTATTAAGTTAAGGAATATAGGTAAAGATGTAGTTTTTAGGAGATAGTTAACCGTTTTATTTATATAGAATTTGTATATAACCATTGACTATTGGATACTGAAGTTGTATTAATAGTCAAGGATAACTATTCAGAGGTTTTTGGATGTAGGTTAATGCAACTGACTGCTGCCACCTTTGTCGTTACACTTGAATTTATCAGTTTCCGTGTTTGGTTTTAGGAAAATAACAGTAGTAAAATAGCCGTCCCACGATTTCTCGCCGATACACCTTGCATTATGAGGTATTATTTCCTAAAACAAATACACTTATAACTATGCAGCATATCTAGTTGTTTTATATTTTAGTAATTGCAGTATTTTATCTATTTTATAATTTATTGTAATAGTTATGTCATTATCTTAAAGGTGAGGAATGGATCTAATGCAAAAGTGAAAATAAGGTGTTTCGGATTATCGTCAAGTTTTGAATCATCAATACAGTTTGAGTTTGAGGCTGGCCAGCCAGTAATTTTATTAGAAACAAAGAAACCTTGGGTTTTGTGTGCTGCTTGAAATTGACCAAAATGTTGATTGAGACAGTTTGTACATATGGCAACTTTAAAAGAAAACCTCGAGGATGATATTAATTTAATAAACATTTTAATCAAATAAATTACTTAATGAATACAATGTTTTCACCTTCGAATGGATTTAGTTTTTTTCCTTTGCAATCAACTATAACAACCGAGGAGTGATAGTACTGCTAATGAATCATGATTCATCCCCATAGGCCAAAAACACCCTCGGTTTAAATTCATATGTATGTGTCTGTTAGCGCAATAACTCAAGCAAAAACTATCCGATTTTGATGAAATTCATCAAACGTAGGTTTACAAACTTGTAAACCTACGTTTATTCAAACGAGGTAACGAACAAGCATGATCGGATTATGGTAACGGGGGTTTATGGGGGGTTTTATGTGGTAAAAATAGGGTTTTCTTTTTTTACCCTAAAAACATAAACTTTATCAATTTCTTTCAAGGACATTTTGTAGACCTTAAAAAATAAATAATTTAGTATATTGAAGCGTTATCGTATGCCTAACGATTATGGAGAAAATTCCAATAAAGTGTAAATACAAAATCCCAATGTTATTCTAATGGAAGGTAAATATAAACCGTTGTAGTTTACTTGTTTATGGATATGTATTTTAATTTAATAAAATTTGGCAATTTTTTAATAATAAGTTATCAACTTTTTAATAAAAAAAACACTTCATTATACCACCCCTGTAGCAGTAAAACCTAAGTACTCCTTTGTTATTTAAATAGGAAATAAGTCTGTCAATTTTAAGGGATGTTTTAGTGGGAATCTAGCAAGGTAAATAGAAGTTCGCTGAGTCTGCAGGTTTGCTGCGACGGGGGTACTTGAAAATTGTACAGGATAATTTTATTATAAGAATTTCCTTACTTTGACTAGAGCGGTGTTCCAAAATCGAAACACTGGGTGCGGATGGTCGTTGCTCTCATAGATTACATCCATTCCATGAGTGAACACTCCAAATCCATTCATCTCTCCGTTATCACCATAGAAACAGTAGAACCCGTGAAGTTCTCTGCATGAAGTTTTATCATCTAGGCTGTAGAAATAGTAGCGACCTGGCAAAATTCTTGTTCTTATTAGTAAATTGTGCATAATGTTAGATCAGGGCGTCATGGTGGATTTTTGTGTGTATAGTAAAGAATAGTTCTATTTTGTTAAGGATTGACAAAAAAAAAATTGAAAATGGTCCATATAATGTGAAATGCTTATGTAACAATTTAGTAGTAGTTCAAGAGATGGGCAAGAAAATCTACCATGTAAGTAAATTAAAAGTTGTATTTTTCCTACTGTAGAAACTCTTTCAAACGGAGATTCCTCTGAGAGTTTATTTACTGCTGTTTTCAGAGCTTACCCTATCTAGTTATGACATTGTCTTTGAAGAAAATTCTTCAGGAGCAATTTTAGAGTGCTACCTTGCTCATTTCTTGACCTCAGCTTCGCCTCGATCATAAAGATTGAGCTCAGGTCGAAAAGAGTCACTTTACGCCCAAGTGATGAAATATACTATGTTTTAAATCATACTATTATAGCCTTTCAATTCTCAGAATAAAAACAACCATAGCAATAATATTGTAGTATTGTCATAGTGGCATTATAAATATACATTGGATTAAATCAATGGTTTGAACTGAAGACTGTGAGGAGAACTTACCAAACTTATTCTGGCAGCCTTGTTCATTCATTCTTGGTTCAACATCAGGAATTTTTACCTTCAAAATGGGGACTTTATGCCAATGCCCCTCATTCCTTCCTTCAAAATGTATGAATTGAGTGAAACAGATCGGTGTACTTCCTCGCTCCAGTTCATCTACGACAATTCCGATAGTTTATGTTTTTTAGCTTTTGTTTCAATTCAATATTATCAGAGCAAAATCACAAAAAGTTCTTGATTATTTGTTTTTTAGCACATTTATATGGAATTACGCTTAACAAACTAAAGTGTAAAATTAACGTATGGGTACATAATTAATATGAAATTTTTAAAGAAATGAGATTATAATTATAAACCACGACCACCTTTATCTTCAGGCCGCGAGTAATAATCGCTGGACATAGTTGAACATATTCCACAACAAGCAGTGAATCTGCAGCGATAAAAGCTTCTCAAATTGAATGAAGATCCAGATGATACCTGTGCTCATTTTCTGCTTAGTGCTTTATCAGCTGTTCCAGAGCCAGATTTAAAAGGAGTGCCACAAAATCGACCATTGCTGTGGCAGTTATTGCAACAAATGAAACAAAGCTTTTGGAAAAGGTGGTCTAGAGAACACAAAAAATGCAAACAATGTACAAGTGGAGATCTACATCAACACCAGAGGAAATCGGATCAATTGTTCTTATTATCGATGAACGATATCCTCCATCAAAAAGGTCTTTTCTAGAGCTATTAAGTTCACCCCAGACAAGACAAGTAAACTCGAGTAGTGACACTGCTACTGGTATATTGCAAAGGGCGATTGTGAAGTTTTGTCGCCTACCAATATCATCTACAAGCTGATGTTCTTTTTTTTGTTGTACGGGAGTATGTTAGAAGAAATTTAAAGAACATGTTCCTAAAAATATTTGTAAACATTATCAGTTAATTGATTATCATTGAAAGTAAAGGTTCTCTATCTATTTCTTTCTTTTTTATAACTCTATTTCTTCACAAACGCCAAGTCGCTCGAGCGACACTTTTTTACTGCCACCGTGTATAATCGCCCTAATTTAATCTCTGATTGCTCATATCTTATTTACCTGGATTTACAAAGAGAACCATTGCGTATCTAAACTTCCTGTGGTCCACAGTCACTGTATGTTTAAACATATATCTTTTTCCAAGATTTTTCGCATCGCTCAAAATATTGTTGGCCTTTATTTTTAAATACTTTTTTAGGGCCTTGGTTCTCCCTTTCTTCTCTACATTTTCCTGATACTCTTCATTAGTTATTACTTCCTGAGATTCTGAGTCTGGTTTGTACTGAAAAAAGTTTATTTTTCAAAACGTAGGAAACATAGTGGTGAGAAATTAGGTTTAGTTATCATATTAGAGTGAGATGATTTCTCAAGTTTACCAGTGTGTAATTTGAAGAAAAGAGAAATCGTCATTGGCTATAGTGAAGATATTACTGTACAAAAATATTACACCTGGTCAGTGGTCATATGGCACCTAACTCTATATTTGGAGAAAACCCATAAATTAAATATAACAATAATAAATTGTTTTAGTTATGACAATAACTGTAGGTCTCAAACTAAAAGTTATATAAAGTCTAGCTATAGGAGGGAAATCTAAAATTGCTAAAGGAAGAGCTTTTTCAACCAGCAACTAATGGATTTTCTTATTGAAACATTAACAGGTGCAAATTAATTTTATGCAATCAATTTTGTAAGGTGGTGCAGTTTAGTCTAATCTGTGAATAAAAAGCCCCATCTTCCCTTTCTTTTTCTGGCTATGCAGGTTTTCTTTATCAAATTTATGAATAGTTTGAAAAACGTTTTCTTACAGCAAGTCCAACTCCCACAAGTTGATCAGCATAGAAGAATATGAAGAAGTTGTTGATGTTTGAGTACCGGTATATTTCCAAATTGTAAGTCCAATGATGCGCAACTCTTTGCCATTGGTTATTCTTTGCATCTGCTGTTGTTAATGGTAAGATAGTTCGTTCCCATTCGAATCTTTGAAGAACTATTTAAATGAAAGTATGATGAAATCAGAGCAATGGTAAAGCGCATTACAATGTTAATCAATAAAGTGACTACCTCTTATCCGGACACCTTTTTAACTGGACTACACTCACCGGAAATGACATCTCTTTAACCAGACAATTTTTTTTTAGCACATCGGTTTAACTGGACTATATCAGCAGGAAGTGGGCGTTGCTGAAACAACTGTTCTCATGAGAAATATTTGAGACCATGTCTAATTCTATTCTCTTAAAATTAAGCCAAATTCTGTATACAGTATGATTTTAAACGGTCCGTTTTAACGAGTTATTGGGGACATCGGTTTAACCATAAAAAACGTTATCCGGACTGGGCTTGGTCCCGAGGAGTCCCGATAAGAGGTAGTCTACTGTAGGTTAATAGTTGTAAAATATTTCTAATACATAGTATATATGACAATATATATAAATAAAATAAGTTTTGTCTGTACACTGGGTAGAATTGTGTAGTTTTTGGTTATTTATACGTCTATATAGCCTAAGAAAGCTGAAACGAGTCTTTGTGTCTGTAGCACCAAATTGCAAATTTACACGGCCAACTCCGAGACAATTAGAGTACCTATCAAGATTCAAACAATTTTAATGTATTTACTGGATTGGTGAGAGTGTCTTTAGCCTTTAAAATATGGCCTCACTATTTTGTAAATAAAATAACGGACGTTCAAAAACCAAATTTTGTGCGATTTTTGTCAAGTTTTGTCCCATTGTTTACCATATACTTCATTTATGAAATACTAATAATCTTTTTGGAAAGTACGTCATCTTTGAAATAACGAACAGATGTTTATTGAATCAAGATTTTTTTTTAGTTGTCACTGATATGTTTACATAAAAAATGCTGTTTACTATATAATAATATAATATAATACTGCAACCTTTTCCAATCACGTTTTGTATGAAAACCCAAACCAAGTGAGATTAAAAACGGTGTGCCTTACATAACGAATTTAATTAATCGCAAGTACATTAATGTGTAACCGTAAAGGAAATTAAATAACTAGGCATCATCCAGGTCAGGAACCGGAGATTCTGTGTGTATCAAATTGTACTTGAGTTTTGATGGGGGAAAATACATTGAATCAGTGTTGTATAGGGGTGGGGAACTTAATTTTTTTAATCATCGTTGCCAATAGCTTACAAACAAGGTTTCCACTCATCCGGGGCACTTCAATGACAGTTGTGTAAATTGTAAAGTAAATAATCACAACTGCAGTGGGTTCTTTTTATTTCCCTCTTAACTCTTTTTTTCTAATAGAATTAACTTAAAATTATCTTTGACCATGAAACGATCATGTTTCTTCTATAACCTGATCTGCTTTGAAGAATGTTCTATTTTGAATTTACTAAATCGGTACTATCGGATAAATCGGTTTGATGTTTTAATTTTTCACTTAACCCAAAAACAATTATTGTAGGCTTGCCATGATGACAGTCTACTCCCAAAATTTAAAAAATTACAAATATCAAAAAGCCTATTTACACTGTTATTATTATTGTATAAAGATTGTATTATTTTCAACTACTATAAAAAGTATACCTATTTCCAGAAAAAGAAGAAATTTGTTTAAAGAAAAATTCAAATTAATACTAAGTTTTTATAAGACAGATCAAACAATCGCAGACATATAATTGATATAACAATATAAATACAAAAATATGGCAGTCAAAGGTCTCTTACAGTTTGTAAGTTGATTAAAACACATGATTAAGAATGCTAGACTTACTCTCAATTGTTTGAAATTCAAATTCTTCACACGCTGAAAAAATAAAAATAACAATGTAGCCTATAATGTTATTAAAATTTTACTAATTTTATGTACAGCAATAAAAAGGTAGACTTTTACAAAACGATAGCTTGGAAACAATTATATGTTATCAAAATCTTGCAAAAGACCTGCAAGCCCCTTGAGAAAAGTGTCTACTTAATTGAAAAGAAATACACTATATAACTAAATAATACACAAATGAATTACATGTTCATATTATTCATTACATTTCAATTTTTTGTATGACTTGGGTAAATCCTCTTGGAGTTGCACATTTGATCAAGCATTTTCCTACTTTAACAATGCTTACTATGTCTATGTGTACACCAAATACCTTTTAAATAATTCTGTTTTTTGTTTACAGTGATTACAATCACATCTTTGTGTAAATGAATATAATATTCCAAAGGGTTTAAAGGTTTAAATACTATTGAAATTAAATCCCAAAATCACTCCTACCTTTTGTTGGTGTCAGTAAACAAAACAGTAACACAGCGAAATCAATCCACATTTTAAAAGTAATCTGCACTGCTTCCTAAACCTAACAACAAATATCAGTCATTGTATTGTACCACACTTGAGCAGTATATTCAGTACTAAATATACTGAATATACTTTTTAGTAGTTGCCTTTGTTTGTGAGCTTAAACTACTGTGTGACATTTAAACATATGTTAAAGACCACAGCTGTGTTAATTACTACGCTATAATTACTTAATTTAAACATTAATTCATATGAAGATGTATTTAATTGTTGGTAAACAACTTTTTCAGTCGGTCTGATCTAATAAAAACTTAACTTTAGCAGACCTTTTACAATTTTATATAAAAGTACCAGGAGACCGAGCTTTGCTCGGAATGAATTTAATATTTATTAGATATTAGCTAAATAACAAATAAAAAAAAGTATGTGTACACATTTTAGATGATTCAAATAATAAAACATTTTAATACATTGAGTCTACATAATGATTTACTTTTTAACTCCATATCGATTGGGTAACACGAAGACCCAAAGACACGAAGTTTGGGTAACACAAAGTGTTGTTTGTATGACGAAATTGGAGGATCATTAAGATTGATTACAACTACTTTCCATACTGCGTTGCAGGAGTGAGTAGGATTTGTTGGACGGTAAGATCATTTTCAAGCCGTTTCGATTCTTAACCTTAGAGTAGGCCACGTAAAGTATACCATGCATAGAAACCCCGGTGAGCAGGATCACACCGACGAATTTCATTGTTTGATCTTGGATTGGCTTGTGTTTGGTCATTGCTACGTCAAGTATGGGAAATTGATGTCGATGAGTTGTATTTCCAAGATGGGACTTACTCAAAACCTGAGGTGATCTGTGGAATGTCGGATCGGATCGGAATGTGATGGTCGGATTGGGCTGAAATTTGGCATGATGATAGCTCACATTCCCGATTAACATATAGGCATATTCTTATTTCAAAGATCCTTTCGGGCTCCGCCCCAGTGGCTCTGGAGTTTCCCATGTTAACCTTATGAGAAATAGAATTATTGAATCTTAACAGCTGTTTCAATTAAACAAGTTGGTTCTGTTCTATGATTTTCAATAGCATTAAAGTTACAAGGATTACCAACAGGTGCAGCACTATTATTTCTTTTACATTTATGACAACAGCTAATTTGCAACCAAAAGGTGAGTGAGCGTAGCGAACGAACTTCAACCTGGAGGCGAGTTAGCGTAGCGAACGAGCTAACCTGAAGGCAAGTGAGCGCAGCGAACGAGCTCCAACCTAAAGGTGAGTGAGCGTAGCGAACGAGCTCCAACCTAAAGGTGAGTGAGCGTAGCGAACAAACTTCAACCAGGACGTGATTGAGCCATGCGAACAAGATAATCTTGAAAATTAAGAAGTCAAACGGGGCAAAGCCCGCGGGTTACAGCTAGTAATATTAATTATTATAAATGAGAAAGTTTGGATGTTTGTGACAAGTGAACGCGAAAAATACTGGTCGGATTGGGGTGAAATTTGGCATGATGATAGCTCACATTCCCGAATAACATATAGGCATATTCTTATTTCAAAAATCCTTTCGGGCTCCGCCCCAGTGGCTCTGGAGTTTCCCATGTTAACCTTATGAGAAATAGAATTATTGAATCTTAACAGCTGTTTCAATTAAACAAGTTGGTTCTGTTCAATGATGTTCAATAGCATTAAAGTTACAAGGATTACCAACAGGGTGCAGCACTATTATTTCTTTTACATTTATGACAACAGCTAATTTGCAACCAAAAGGTGAGTGAGCGTAGCGAACAAACTTCAACCTGGAGGCGAGTTAGCGTAGTGAACGAGCTAACCTGAAGGCAAGTGAGCGCAGCGAACGAGCTCCAACCTAAAGGTGAGTGAGCGTAGCGAACGAGCTCCAACCTAAAGGTGAGTGAACGTAGCAAACAAACTTCAACCAGGACGTGATTGAGCCATGCGAACGAGATAATCTTGAAAATTAAGAAGTTAAACGGGGCAAAGCCCGCGGGTTACAGCTAGTTAAATAATAAGTAGTAGACAAATCTTAAATTACCAATCAAAAAACATTATTCTAAACTAATACCAAATTTAAGTGTATAAGGTTATGAAAGAAACGCCAGAGATAGTTTTCATATTTATGTGCAATAACACACAGGAAGTAGAAAACTTGTAACAAGTTGAAGGAATAAAACATAAATATTACAAACAAGAGCAAATTATTTTTACATATCATACAATTAACTTAGCTTAAGACATAAGTAACAAACTTTGTACCAATATGTTCAATTGATCATATATAAGTTACTAACGTAAGTGATAAGCGTTCATTGTTAGACCTATCAAACAAACATATAAGCCTAATTTTGGCTTTGATATCTCAGCCTAAATGCAAAAATATTCTGACAATTTTTAACTAAAGTTACGGTACCTAAATATTGAATAATAGGAAAACGGTCATCTTAATCTACAAGAACTACCAATAACTATATACAATGTTTCTTACTGAAAGGATATATTTTATCAGACAATATTTTTTGTAAGAAAGGACAAAGTGTTGAAACAAAAAAGCCTGAGCCTTTGATATTTGATTAGCCAGACTAAACAAAAAATTACTTAGGTACCCACAGTAAACTAAACAATGAAGTATTTTCTTACAATATACATATTTTACAATGCTTTACAACAAACTTAAAGGAAACATTTTTTACAGTTTATTATCTGCACTAAGAATACAAGAATAAAGTGCAGTTAAGTACTGACTTACGTAATATTTAACAAAATAGACCCTTATATGTCATTTTACTTTGATACATATTAAAAAAATACATTTATCAAATAAGCTCCAATCTCAAATATAAAAGGAACCCTTGATTAAAATACAGTAGTGTGATCTACTGAAAATACTGACAAGGGCATAACGAGACAGTAGAAAGATTACATTGGATAAAAGGAATTATATTTCAAATACTTTTTTTCAATATTTCATGTAAACTTCATCAGGCTTACAAAGAATAAAAAAAATGCATGTTGATAAAACACTTAATTTTGAACTTAAAATTTTTGATTTTTTTTCAAACAATATAATTACTATCTTATTGATACAATGACTTAATTTTTATCCTGTGATTGAAAAATACATAGCTTATTATCAAATAGTTAGCATTTTCAGAAATAATACCGAACACTTTCATACTAAAAATTATATTATAATATTTAACTTTATCAGTTTAATTATACCATGAAACAATAAAATTATCACAATGCTAACTAAAATTGTTGGCTTTTGCTACCTTATTGCTTTAAAAATTGTAATCCCACTCAAAACACTTAGAAAAACATAATAATTCTACAAGAGTTTTATTTAATAAATTATATCTAAATGTAATTTACATTAACTTTCAGTTTTAAAACCCACGAGAGCAATTTTAAAATAAATTTAAGAACATCAGTAGCAGCAAAGTTATTAACAGTAACTAAAACTTCTCTGTTATAAAAAGTATTTACGAGAAGAGAAAACAAAAAAATTCACAATGTTCCTAGAATCTTAAAACTGCTAAATCTATGAATTTTTAAAACAATCATTTATCATGACAATTCAAACTATTAACGCTAATTTTAAGAATTTAAACGTTGCTTAACTAAACAAAATTAACCTTAAAGCAAAATATTTAACATTCAGTTATTTAATAAGCTTGTAACAAAATAAAATTACTGATAAATCAGTTGACATCTAGAATGCATTCCTACGTAAAAAGGCAAAACAATAAGTAAAAACCGTTTACAAAAATTTGAGAGTATTTAATCCTATTTGAAAGTGATTAGTCCTACACATTGTACAACACTAAACTGAATCATGGATAAAAAGTAGTTGCACAGTAATTTGTTACGATCAAATAGTTGCTACCCTTAACTCAACTCTAGAGGTACATAAGTATCACAGTGGGGCAGGTTCTCAAGAGTTCTTTCCCTTCCCAGAGTTTCTCGTGCTCCTGATCTTCCCCACTCCAGAAAAATGGACATCCTGGAAATTCCCTGTACTCTGCACTTTCCTTCGGAAACTACTGGTGCTCCAGACTTGGTCCAAAATAAACAGTGTTCCAAACTTCTTTTCAGAAACTGCCTGTACTTTGAACTTCCCTCTCTCCAGAATTCACTCCCCTTCCAGGAACTCTCGCTCTAATGCGGCCCCCATCATGTTCCAGTCTTTATCGCTGATTTCATCTAGAGCATCTTCACTTCCGGCCGAGTTCTCCTCGCTCCCCAAATCCTCGACGTCACTCGGCAGTTCTTCTCCCCGTCGGAATATATCCGCCAAAGATTCGTTATCAGATGATTCTCTTGCCTTTTCCTCCTCTTCGTCCTCTAACTTCTGTTTCTTTCCCCAGCCTTTGGGCACAATTGAACCTAAAATGGAAGTTATATCTTTATAACAATAACTTGTACTATTATTAACACTAGTGTACCTGTTGCTCGGATTCGAGCAATTACTAAGTATTACAGGCGTTATTTTAAACGAATAACAGTCATAATTTCTGATAACTTTAAAGATTCGACTCAAAGATTATGGAAATACTCAAGATGTGCATAACTCAGATCGATATAATAATCAACATTTTTTGTAAATATCTTATCATTTTTCAAAAGCTGATCTTGTTTTCAGTGTTTTCTACAAATAGCCTTACTCATAGCCGCATTAGGTTGTCCATAATAACGATTATAGATTCTTAAAAAAACATTTCTATTTCTTCTCCTTGGTGGTGTTCTATGACTTTTCTATGTTTCCATAGTTTTCAAATCGGCTCTTTCAATGTTCACTAAGAAATGCAGCACAGTGTTAATTCGGTTTTCTTTTTAGTATATCAAACCATCCAGGCTCTCTCGCTTTTTTCCATTGTAATATTTACGCCAACCCACATTCAAATAGTAAATATTTCATTTCAACCAAGTCAGTAAATGTTTGTAGCAAACTGTTAAATTAGCAAACTTGTTGACTGTTTATACAATTAATTAACATATGTTCTTCTTCTCACTTTTAATTTCTGTCAATAGCTGGAGTTTCATAACAATGTTTGTTTCCCATGTTAATCTTATGGAGAAATACAAAACTTTAAAGGGCCCCAGGGCCTCACTTTCTATTTATTTCCCTATAAAGAAAGTTTCCTGCACAACTTCACGTTACGCTCTTTCCAATGACACCCAAAACATGTCAATCGGTTCAATAGTTTTGGAGGAGTAATTGTCACAAAAAACCTGCTTGCGTATTAAATAAGTAAAAAATAAGAGCGTATTAAATAAGATATAGATATTTCTGTATTTAAGAATACATTGAGGAATAAGGAATGGACACACAGCTAACCTAACCAACAGAAGAAGTCCAGGTAGTTGACAGCAAAAAAAGCTTACAACACAACTAATTACTTATGAAGAAACCTCCTTGTAGGGGAAGAATATCAAATCAATTGTCATTTAAAAAAATAGTTGTTTAGCCTCCGGATTACTGTATTATACTTAAAATGGTTTACAATACCTGCATATAGTAATCCTTTGTTGCTGATTTAGGCAACTAGTTTCAGTTCTTGTTTTGAACCATCTTCAGGCCTCAAGGTGTCAAGTGATCACATCTGTTAACGACCTTCGAATGAATTGATCACTTGACACCTTGAGGCCTGAAGATGGTTCAAAACAAGAAACGAAACTAGTTGCCTAAATCAGCAACAAAGGATTACTATATGCAGGTATTGTAAACCATTTTAAGTAAATCAATTGTATTGTGAACTGTTTGTGTGAATCAACTGCCCGGAATTCTTTACTTGGGTGAGTTAGTTGTGAATTGATTTCTTCTTTCTTCATGTATTTCTAAGCCAAGTGCTCTTTCCTCCAAAAAACAATACTATTATGTATTAATATACCATTACATTACTGCTATAAAACAAGTGACAATTACAATATTACTTATGTGGTTGATAAAGGAGGGTTCATGTGGACCAATTTAAGTCTTAAAATTCCTCACTGAATCAGAACTGGTGTGTAACGGTGAATAATCTTATCCAGGGAGTTATCCGGTTTTGTGTTTCAAAAGCCAACCAAACGTAGCCATTGAGAAAATTCTTTCTTGGAAGGAAATATGCTAAGCGGGCAATATAGGACCAAGGGATGCCAGCACCATCAGATCAACTGGACCTGTGTTGAACGGAATTAAGAAGTGGTTGGTTTTCAACTGACCATTGGGGATACTAAGAACAATAAAGTATACATCAAAGGCTAGGAAAAAAGCTGTTGTTTTTACGTGGCAAATACTATGTTCATAGAAAACCTTACATATTTTTACAGCCAAGACAAGAATCCTACCTGAGATAGAATTATCGGAGCTAGATGAGTCCTCGTCCTTGTATCCTTCCAAGGACTTTTTCCTCTTCCTCGCCACTCTTTCTCTCACCGTGTCCTTTTTTGTTTCTTTCTCTCCTTCTCCATCACTGTCTGACTCGTCATTACACATGTCTTCTACCTCGGCGTCCATGTCTGCTATGTCCTAGACGAGAGGACAAATTTCAACATTTTAGGCTACATTCTTCTACCTTAACTTAGTAACCTACCTTAATAAGTACCTTAAGTACCTTAAGTAGTACCTTAAGTAGTAAGTACCTTAATCTAGGACTGGGATCGTGGCGTCGTCCTGCAATCTAGCTACTTGGAGGTAACAAATTTTGGATATTTATAAGCATGGATACGATACTCCCCGGTGTGGATTAATGTCAAATTATTTTTAATACACAGTATACTTTAAACAATTTGAACAACTGATTGAAGAGAGTTTTAAGTTTAAAGCGACGATTTTACAGGAATGCAGGAAAAATAGGAAGGAAAGCACAAGAAGATGAAGAGTCAAAACGCTTGATTGGCAACAAAGATTGAAATCAAGTAGCAAGAGAAGTGAAACTTAGTATACCACAATCCTTTCTCCATAAATTATGGTATAGCAGGAGAAAGTAATGAAAAATAAATCAAATAAATAATTACTCAGTTTGTAATTTTAATTATTGTTTGTAATTGTTGACGCTTGAACTATTTTCAAAGAATATGTCTAAAGAAATATTGTCTATTGTCTATTGTCTAGAGACAAAGTCTACCAGTGTAACATTTAAGACAGAGCCAATATTCTCGATGTCGCCATGACAAAAGAGAGCAAACCAGTGCTTGTCTTGTCCTGAATATGTTTAATGCTCCATCTCAACCAGTCAAGATCCTTTCTATTAGGCAGTTTAAAACAAGAGTCGGGAATTGGTTTAAGTCTTTATTCTGTTGAAGAATATTAAAAGAAATCCTTCACCAACCTATAAGAGCTCCTTGCTGGCGTGCCAATAGAAAAAAGTTACTGTAGGCTACTTTATTTTGTTTAACCAACTTTGAACGTAAATAAATAGTGTAAATATACATATGTGAAAATGAAATTGTCATGATTGAGGGCTTACAATCAAGGATTTGGCAATAGTAATAGTTACGTCCCACCGCAGTGTCTCAGCATACCACACTATCTCACCTCCGAGCTGAACGTCATCAGAGGGTTGATGGTGTCCATGAAGCGGCCGGAGGCGCTGCGCTGCCGTGGCGCGGGTGTATGTGGGATATGCGGAGGGGAGCAGTGTGAAGGGGGTTGTCTCGTGCCCCCCTTTTCTCCCCCCACTGGAAACAACGCCTCTTCCACTCTCTCCCACCTCTCGGCACACGACCACAGCCAATCAGGCGACACCAGTTTGAAATCAGGCGGCACCATTTTGAGTTGCTTGAATTTGCGAGCGGCATTCACCTACATAGCAATTTCAGTGTTTCATCATTTTAAAAAATAAAGGAATCATTTTAAATCTGTCTACAGATAGATACAGTAGGTTCTCTCATATCGATCAGCTAACGATTTAGACTGATGAACCAACCTATTTAAAAACTCTATAATACGTAATTGATAACTGATAAGTCTAGTCAAAACTAGTGTTTAAGCCTCAAACAAAGATGGAGGTATTACAATTTTTTTCATTGCAGAATATTGTAGATATAAACAACACCCACAATACACAACACCCACAATACACAACACTTGGCATGATAAACCGAGGACCATTAAAACTTATAATAATAATAACCATTATAGTTATTACCTTTGCTGTCCCTGTTCTCACAGCCACCAAGTGTGTGCAGTCTTTGGTCAGGTCTTGCACTACTTCCGCTCCTAGACCCACAGCGATGTTGTACGCTCGACTCTGCTCTAGGCTGTGATTGGTTGGCACTAACCCACTGAACGCCAGCTTTGTTCCTGTCAGCACTTCCTTCTTCACTCCTGGAATTACCTGAAATTACATTAAAAATTGTACAATTTACTGTTGTCTATAATTATTGTCCTTGTTTATGAGCCGTAATGAATAGTTTAAAGATTCACCTTTAAATACTCAGCCAAGTGTGTATTAGTCACATAAACATAATCTTATCTATTAACTGTAATTTATAATTTTTAAGTGATATCAGTTTGTGATTAATTTTTTATTGTTAGGCTATTATTTTGAACAAATATATGTAAGTGGCTTGTTTAATTAGTTGAATATGATTACGCTTGTTACTTTACTTACAGTTTTTCAAATTTATGAATTAAGACTGAAGACTAAATAAGAAGGACAAAAGTGCACTCCTTGAGACAGAAATGAACTGCTGTGTATTTTAACCCGAATATAAGTGAAGGACCAATGTAAAATGGAGTGAGATGATACGTGTAGCTTTGTTTCTGATAGGGATGGACGAGTTTGGATTTTTAGTTCGAGACGAGACGAAATTTTTTATTTCTCATAAAATTTTGAGACGAGATCGAGACGAGATTTCTCTTCTCATACACAACGGGAAATGCACGTTCAAAATTTTTACCTGATTTTGTAACATTGTTAGATGACTGTTTAAATACAAAAATAATGATAATAGGCAAGAATATTTACAATCTTTTATTAAATAACATCAGCATATAACATTTTTTTATTAATCACGCCTAACTTATTAAAAATGCCTACGATTAGGAAACATGGTGAAATCAGTTAGGATAGAGTTCAACTTATCCTAAAATAAAATAAATTATAAAATAAAAGCAATATTCATTTTTATAAAAGAGTTACTTGTTTTGACTTTTTTATAGTAATAAAACATTCCTCACACTGCTTACACTTAACAAAACTTCTCAAATGTTATTAAAGTAATATTATTAAAATAATTAAAGTAATATTTACATTAAAAGAATTAATTAAATAAGAACGCCTTCGCAAAGGAAACGCAACTACAACACGCTCCTGTATTGCGGGTATTGCATTGACTTTCTGCAGGCGTTTTAATTTTTTTTTTTTTTTTTTTTTAATTCTCGTCTCGATAAAAATCTCAGCCAAAAAGAAATCTCGTCTCGTGTAACGAGATTGAAAATTTCCCGAAATGTCGAGACTTGACCATCCCTAGTTTCTGAATAAACTGAGTTTTATTACTTTCTAACCAGGACCATTAAAAGCCGAAAGATCAAGAACAGCTGGGTCCAGTTTCAATCAATAAGCTACTGGCTTTTCTTCACATTAAAAACACATCTTACTAGTTTCTAGGCGAACAATACATTTACCCAGGTATACAAAGGTTATAAGGTTACCAATATCCTAACATTCCTAACGATAAAATACTTTACCTTTTTCAAATCTCTGTCTCCTTCCCGTTTTCCATCAACAATTTCATAAAAGAACGTATGGATTTTCCTCAGTATTTCTTCCAGGTACATAAGATAGTCATCGGCTTCTTCAATCTCTATGTAGTCGTTTACCAATTTCGCATGCTCTACAACCTTTATTTCACCATTTGCTTCTTTTGTTGGTTTATTTTTCTTTTCTTCCTCAGCATTTGACTTTTTGTTACTCTGTACTCCAGCAACCTTTTCTCCATCAATGTCTTTCTCTTCTATATCAATTGAATTTTCCTTCCCTTCCTTACTTTTGCTCTCTTTAACATCAAGGTTGTTCCCAGTACTCTCCACTTTGATTTCGTCCTTGTTTATCTCGTTTGCTCCACTTTTTTCTTCACTGTCATTCTCTTTGTTGTCATCAGTTGTTGAAGATACTTCATTGCACATACTTGTTGCTTCACTTTTATCCTCACACCCCTTTTGTTCCTCTCCACATGAGATTTTCCCAGGTTTTTCTGGTGTGTTTTGTTTACTGCGGGACCTTAACTCGCCTTCTTCCAACTCGCTTTCACTTGAATCTTCCTTTCTTTTATTCTTTTTCTTGCCTTTATCAGGATCCGGTTCTTTAGGCCTGATGGACGTGCCTGAAAAAAGCAATATTATTTCAAAACATTACAAGTAGTTTTTAGCTTAATATTATTACAATTTTTATTTTAACCATGCATGACTTCTATTCCTATTGCAGTTACCTACACAACTGTTGACTAGCACGCCTAACCAGCAAATGAAGGCCTATTAAAAACTATTACAATAATTGATAAAAATCTCCTGATATCCATAGATGGTGATTTCAACGATGTAGGATAAGACGTGGGAGACTAATAACATACCACTGATCTGGAGACATTGTTAAAAATCAACAAAAGGTAACAGTGGCCAATAGTACAATCCAACAACCGTGAAAGCTTTGAATTCAATTAATGGATTTTTTTTCAATTTTGCAAATTCTGGCCTTTGACTCATTGCTAGTTTCAAGGTTTACCACCCAATATCTCAAAATTTTTCCAGACCACAGATATTCTCGACTTTTTCAACCCCACCAATTGTCTTTGAACCATTACATATTGATGCTATCTAACAAAAGGTAACATTGTATTGTGACAAGAGATTGGAGTGTTCCCTAGCAAGAACGTAGAAAATTGCCAATGGCATTGAAAGCACAATAAAGTCCTGCCAGCAAATCGGTATGGCTAAAATCAATGTCTACATTTGCGGCTATCTTTGGGTGGTTTCCACTGGCAAGCGTTGAAGAGCAAACTCCACCAACCTTGAGCAAAATGAGAGAAGTCGAATCCCTCTTTTTCATCATTCTCGTCCTTGGTAAGACCCGGGGGTGCGTGGATGTCTCCGGTGTGACGGAAGAAGTGATACGGCTTCACGTGGATCAGGTTGGGGGAGAAGTTCCACACATCCTCTCTGTCATCGATGATGCAAACCAGCTCGTCGCCGCACGGGAACAGAGCCCTGCAAGCATGAGAGCTGTGATTAAATTGAATAAGAATACAGTAGAACCCCTGAGATCCAACCTCGGTTTTATCATTCCTCGGAATACTCGGCCACTTCTCGGAAGGCAAAACCAAAAAGGTTTTTCTCACAACTTGCTGGCGCAGTAGCCTAGTTGCTAGCACTATTATTCTCAAACACTTGTGCAATTTGTCTGTTCGTTTACGTTTTACTGTGCTCACTAATTTGAGCAAGTAGGCCTAACATCTAAACAATTGGTTAATTATTTCCAGTGTTTGTAGTAGGATACAGGACAGTATTTATCAATTATTATCAATTATTTAAGATGGGGACGCCACTTTGTGCGTATTTTAACCCAAATATGAGTGAAGGATGAGTGTACGATGAGTGGCGCAATCTTTTAGTCTTATTAGTGACTAAGACCAATATATTCTTTAGACACAGCTGTTAATTAATAGACCATACAGCTAATGGCAACTAAGGGACCTACAGTTTATAGTGGAATCCGAACTACTGCAGATAGTCGTAGTACTCACTAGTGCGGACGTTAATCCACACCAGGGAGTATTGCATCCAAGAGTGCTTGCCTAAAAATATCAACAATCCAAAATAAGTAATTATTTTGTTAGACAGGAATTGGGATTGGACAGTAGGCTTATAAAAAAAATCATAACTGAAAAGAGATGGCCTTTAGGAGTTACGGTAACATATTTAATGATTTAGGGTATGCATTATAGGATTTTAATATTAGTTTACAATAATATCAAATTAATAGCCTAAAAATTATTACAAAACATTTTTATCATGACACCATATTTAATTTTTTTATCTAGCTTTAGCGGGGGGTGAGGCCTTACCACTGGAGCCAACATTGGCTGGTAGCAATATAAGTTCAAATTATGGATAAAGATCTACGTCCATTCAAGTAAAAACCCATAGTATAACAGTGTACAACAACTCTTAAAAATAAACAAGTACTTACTTCAAGTTGGCCTTTTTTGAGTTTGGGTTGAAGCATTCATCACGAGACAATATTCGGTGAGAGAAAAACTTGCCATCCGGATCCAGAAAGTGAGCTATCATATGGGCGTAGTTGCGAGCTCCAAACGTACAGATGTGTAACTCGTACAACTGACTGACTTTGGCCAGGAACTGGTGAGTTCCGGGTCTGAAGCGTGTGTGATACCACGGTGAGCGTGGACCGTACAGTTGAAAGTGGTATACATCCTGTAAAGGAAGATTAGTAAAAAAATAAGTAGATTGTTAAATAGAAATTTACAACAATGATACATTTCTTCATTAAGTAACTTAATTATTTCTTTTTGCGCTACTAGTGGGCAAAGTGGTATTTTTTTAACACCGAGAAATTTTATCAAGTTTAAAAAAGACACTTTAAACTTGAGTTTCACATCATATTTTGTCTACAGTTTCTGGTGTGTAACCACTTAAAACAATGAATATGTGCTCAACAAAAAATAATCCTAGGAATAATACACTACAACCGTACAAACCAACTCTCTTGCTATTTTCACCCATGGATTGAAAACCAACTAACACACGACGGAGAGTAGGCTTACATACAACAGCTTAATGGTTTTAAGTAGGAGAAAATTCAATATGTGCTTCAAAACTGTAATTAACTTACTTTACCTTTAAATTATTAGGAATGTTATCATTAGTTGTGTGAATCAATGTCTGGTCCAAATCCACTAACAGAACAAGTTTTCTGTCTTTTAGAAGTCTCTCTTCATCAGCTTTCCCCAAAATCTGAGCTTGCTGAAAAAATTCAAAGATAAGCAAATATGTACGTAATTTTAAAGTTAGAAGGTAGGTACCGTACCGTAGTTAGTTTATCCTAAACAGCGGCCAAGAGCAAATCCATACAGTAGTTGTTAAGGGGGGGGAATTACTATGTCATTTAAGATAGTGTCAAGAGCCAAAACAACAGTTTGACAGCATTGACTATTGGATACTAAAAGTTAGTTATTCCATCTATATGGCTATCAGCTGTCGCAAATTTTTTATTACGAATAAACGTAGTTGTGTGAGCCAGAATCAGAGTGTGCTAGTGTCTTAAATTCTATTTTCTACCTTATTTTATGTTTCTCGCATAGTTTATGGGTCATAACAGTTGCTATAGCCCACAATGAGCCGTTCCATCAGTTTGACTCAATATAAAAGTTTGTGTATTTGACAGAAATTAGTAATTTACATCAGCACAATCTGTCGGTGGCTCACATCATCTACCACCATTTTGACCAAAAAAACTGGTGACAACTTTTAACAAGGGGATGGAATGTCTAGTTGTATTAATAGTCAACGGTGATAGCTAAGAAGTTGTGCGAACAGTTACTTACAGATTCTGAGAAAGAAATTCCTACTACTTTTTTAAATACTTTATTCTGGAATGGCAACCATAAAAATGTATTTTAAGCCAAGTAGTCAGATTTTATCAGGTTTATAGTCACGTGACCACGGTTTCATGTTAGACGGGTTTGTTTTGCTCTGTTGCCATTTTTCCGATTTTTCTTTAATACATAACATATTCAAGCAAATTTTCATTGTACTGTGTAGTCGATGGTTTCCCATTCTACTGTTATTATTGCCTGGACTTTCCTTTGCGTGAGTTTTTAATGTGAGAAGTTTTTTAATCATAACCTAGTTTCGTTCATCTAACATTTGGCTAATATTTAGTGAACCCATACCGGTCACACTACCCAACTTCCACGTCAACATTTGATTACCGAAGCGCCACTGTACAGAGGCCAGACGCCACCTATACAGGATACGCGCAACCACCCCTATCCTTGAGAACATAACAACGCTATCTAGGAGCGATTACGCAAGTTTGCTACGCCCGCAATATTAGTGATACTTTCCGCTTGACAGTTGAGTACTGCGTGAAGGTGTTCCAATTATGGAAGGCGCTATCCAAAACAATGTACTAAACTAAAACTAAATAATATAAATTAAATAAAATGAAAACAAGAAACGGAATGCGTTTTTTAAATGAAGGGACAAAAGAACTGTTAAATGGCTTAAAAACGAATATTATCAATGAAGAAGTAATAGATATCGCCATAGATCTTCATGCTCAGTTAAGAATACTGGCAGAGAAATATGAAGAGGAAGCTATTGCTGAAATTTTACCAAATTTAGTGATACTCTTAAATAAATATGACACTTGCTTAAATCAAAACCACGACCTTGTTAGCAACATACAAAACTTAACAGAAGACTTCAAACATTTGGAAAAACAATATCTTGAAGAGAAGGAGAAGAGAAAACTAGCTCTGGAAACGTCAATCAGCAACGAAGACCTTCTAGAAAATGAATTAAGTAATTATAAAGCTGAGGTGATAACACTACGGAAAATCAAATGCAGCTTAGAAGAGAAGCTACGTCGGAATGAGGACAGGGTTTCGCACGCCAGTACACAAACAGTTACGGTCGAGCTAATACCCGAGACACCTGGACGTAAAGCCATTAGTGAAGTTAACAATAATACAATTCACCACTCTTCAAACACAAAATGTTCACTGTGTAAAGCTACACAAGAAAACACTGACCAGTTAATGACAAATATTAATAGATTGAACGAGGATAGAGACTGTTTGCATAAAAAACTAAAGGAATTCGAACTCAGGTTGAGGGATAAACAAGATGAATATGACTATATATTAACTCGACTTGAAGAAGATGACATAAGGAAAACTCGTGACAATTCAAAACTAATTACTATAGAAAATACACCGACACCTTTACGCCGTCCCCTTGAAAAGAATTCGGCAGAGAACAAACAGGTGCGGCCAACTACGATTAAAATCCCATTAAAAAAGACCAAAACAAGTAAACCTAAGGTGTTAAAACGACTTGAAACAAATGAAAGGCGAATAGGAAGAAAAAACATGCAAGACAAACATTGGTATAAAATGACGGACACTGATATTAACACAGTACTCAAGACTCTACACCTGATACCGGACAATCTGTTACTGCTACCACCTGCGGTAAGCCACCTAATTAAAACCCAGGATGATTTAGAAGTCTTGAGAGAAACATGCAACGGCCTTAAACTGAATGAATATGACTTTGTTGCCTGTGTTGTAAATGGAAGGCAAAATGAAGCAGAGGAAGGAGGGGATCATTGGTCTCTCTTGGTTACTAATAAGCAAGAAAGTCAGAACAACCAGGATATCTCCTACCACTGGGACTCTGCGGGCGGTATAAACACCTCTGAAGCGAAGCGCTTGGCTGTAAAACTGAGCAACTTTATGTCCAACGGAGATGGCGATGTCGGTAATGGCAGCAACATAAGTAACGAGGTTCGTCTTGTGAATGTCCCGTGTCGACAGCAGAGCGGCGGAGTAGAGTGTGGTGCATATGCAGTGCATAACGCCGAACTAGTATGCTCCCTTGTGGCTAACAACTTGCCCCTGTTCGATAAGGATTTTTTCATGAGGGACTTCTCCGTTGATGATATTTATAGTAAAATTAGAACACCGGACTTGAGTTCCACTTTGGCCAATAATACACAAGAGATTACAAATAATAATAAAATTTTCTTAATAGGAGATAGTCACGCAAGGGATATGGCAGACAAACTGCAAAATATGGTGGGCAAGGATACTGATGTAACAGCGAGCTGCTACCCCGGAGCGAATATGTGCTTCGTGCTTGATCGTCTAGAAGATCAAATCCAGCGTCGGTTTGTAGCGGCTGGAGACTATGTGGTTATAGTTGGTGGCACCAACAACACCAGCCCCGCGCACTACGCACAGGTGATGGACCGCCTTCGTGGTATCAAATCTTCAACTCAGGCGACTATCATCCTTACTGAGCTACCTTACCTTCCCAATCTAACAAAATGTCAAACTGAACAAATATCCGATTGCAACAAACTACTTGCCACGTTATCATTACAGATTAATGTACCTTATCTATTTTTCTCACACGCCTTGCACTCTAAACATTTTACAAGGAACGGGTCACATTTAAATCATCATGGAAAACACATAGTGTGTGGAAAGATTTGTACATGGATGAAATATCTAATTAAAAGTGATACGAATTTGGGAAAAGACAAAAGTATTGCAACAAGTGCTTTAACCCGTCTGTCGCAACAGCAGCTGGACGTCGTTGACAATAAAACCTCTAACTTTCGATCGGCTAATATTGAGGTTGTAAATGGAAGGATGGAGAATGCCATAAAGAAGTTTAGAAGTGACAAATTTACAGCCTTTGTACACTGCATATCCTCAGATTTTGATGAGCCCCGACGGATGAGTGCTGGCGTTGCGGTGGCCTTTAAAAAATCGTTTGGCAAACCCTTAGTCTCACATCGCACCAACTCTCACCTTACCTGTCAAACCGAAGATGGATCAGTTGTATATGGCCTATTGACCAAAGCAAGGTACAACGGAAAACCTACGGTGAATGACTACAACACGGCTTTCCTACAGCTCGTAGAAGATTTTCAGAAGAGGAAATTGAAGCGGCTGATTTGTCCACCACTTGGATGTGTCCGTGACAATATTCCTCTACACACTTTCATATCGAATTTGATACAATTCCAAGAGTCTACGGCAGCTACAATCAAGATCATAACATATGAAGAGCGTTCTACGCGTTCGTTAAGAAATGGACTAGAATTTCTCGACTTTGTAAGCCAGATGAAGAATTTGATTCAGAAGAAAGCTGCTTACAAACCCCATAGTCAAGATGTTGATCTTTCTCCCATATTCTCTTCGTCCGAATTAAGCAGTGGATCCACACCAAGAACAGGGATGAGCACTAGCCAGAATTCGCCACAGTCGACAGTCCTACCTTCAAATGCAGCATCACATGGAAACTCTAGGGAAGCTGTGCCTGTGGACCGTCACCGAGACCCAGCGAATCTTCAGAAAATAAGTGCCAGTGAAGTGCCTACGACCGCATCAGTGTCCAAGAATGTAAATGGGTCTCTGTCAGATATGTGTGTGCACGGTGTGGCGTCTGGAAATAATCATAATCATAGATTAAGTTATTCACTGCTCAGCCCGCTCATGCCAACTTTAAACTAAAGCACAATGACAAAAAAAGTAGTTTTGCTCCTCAGAACAACTTAAGATCTTTTAACTTAAACTACAAAAACAACGTAAAAACTAAAAATACAAAGCTATTTCCGGAAAACTGTGATGGTTTAAAGAGCAGCACAAAAACCAAAGTAAATTATAAAAAAGTTGACGATAAAATAAATAAAGGTGACAAATGTTTGAGATTTATGCATACCAATTTACAGTCCATCAGAAACAAAGTAGATGAGCTTGGTTTATTGTTGGATGAGTTTGCGTGTAGTGTGGTATTAGTTAACGAGCACTGGTGTTGTAATGAAGAGATAATGTTTTATACACCCCAAGGGTTTAAGCTGGCCGATGCTTATTGTAGAAATAATGATCCACACGGAGGCTCAGCAATTTTTATTCTCAAACATCTCAAATGTAACAAAATCGATGTATCTCACCTAACACAAGTAGGATTAATGGAAGCAGTTTGTATTGAGCTTATAGATTATAAGGTGGTAGTTATATCATTGTACAGAAATCCGAGTTCCGATGTTAATAGCTTCTTAAGTTTACTAGATGCTTTACTTGATTATGTGTGTAAGAAAAAAACTAATTATCGATTGATTTTGGGGGGTGACTTCAACATTGATATACTTAAAGAGAATGTTACCAGTAATATGTTTCTCAATATACTTAAGTCATTCAATTTGTACTGTATAAATAGGGAGCCTACCAGAAACCTGAGTTGTCTAGATAACATAGCCACTAATTGTCATAAATCTCAATTTAAACAAGGAATTTGGCCCCATACTATTTCCGATCACTCAATTATTTGGTTTGAATTAATAATACAAAATCCCCTAAAATGCAAGTTAGATGAAATTTCCTATAGAAATCTAAAACAGATCAATTTGTTTGCAAGCTCTTTGGCCAACACTGAATGGGATGAATTGTTTTGTACTCATGATGTAAACCTTGCGTTTAAATTATTTCTGGATAAACTCCTTTTATTGTATAATTTTTATTGCCCTAGAATAACAAAAAAATGTGTACCGGGAAGTCAAAGAGTCTCAAAGCCGTGGTTTGATAGCAGTTTGAAAGAACAGAGAAACACTGTAATTTTATTAAATGACTTGTTAAAAATACCCAAGTATAGAAACGATAAGTTGAAAGCATTTTATCTTAATTTTAAGAAACGATACAGGTCAGCTATCATTAAGGCTAAAATCAAATACAACGACAGTTTTGTCAGTAATGCGCCAAATAAATGCGCTGCCGCTTGGCGGCTCATAAAATTTGAATCCAACATTAACAAAACACAGAAGCTCGAGTCCCCAATTTCAGCCCAAGAGTTTAATGATCACTTCATTAAGATCGGTAGAAGAGTGGCCGAAAAAGTTAATTCATCCAATTGCAATAGTGACTTTGTCAACTTTCTTCAAAAAGTAAAGCCGGTGACCAAAGAGTTCCACCTTCAGCCAATAGATAACCGGTCATTGCTATCAATTGTAAGATTATTAAAAACCTCCCGATCCGAAGATATATTTGGTTTGTCAAATAATGTCGTAAAGGAAATCATCCCTTTCATTTTAGAACCATTAGTCTATCTCACAAACTTGTCTATTTTTTCAGGTACATTTCCCCATAGCCTAAAATTTTCCAAAACACACCCAATTCATAAAAAGGGAGACAGAACAGTTATTGATAATTTTAGGCCAATTTCTATAATTCCAATCTTTTCAAAGATAATTGAACATCATGTGAAATCTCAACTCTACAGTCATCTTGATAAGCACGAAATTCTGAGCCCAGCTCAATTTGGTTTCAGACCTGGTCTTTCAACAATACAGGCAGTTGACAAATTAATTTCTGAGGTATTAAAATCTTTTGAAGACAAAAAATATCTTAACGTAGCTTTAATGGATCTCAGTAAAGCTTTCGATAGTACATCACACCAAATTATTTTGCATAAATTAAAATTTTATGGAGTCCAAAAAAATGAGCTAAATTTCTTCAATACTTATCTATGTGGCAGATTCCAACAAGTGGTTGTTGGGCAGGACTCATCTGAGTTTGAGGAAATTCTAGCGGGAGTCCCTCAAGGGTCAGTGTTAGGGCCTATTCTGTTTCTCTTAATGATTAACGACTTACCTAGTAACCTATCTTGCCAATCACTCTTATATGCCGATGATACCACTTTATTTTCCGCAAGTTGTAGTTTTACTGAGTCTGAAGCCACAGTCAACAACGCAATTACTTTGTCTTCTAATTGGTTTAATGCAAACTCTCTTACCTTAAATCATGATAAAACTGAGCGGATTTGCTTTTCGCTAAAACACTTAGAAGGTTCAAATATCCCGTCAACAGTGAAACTTTTAGGCATACATTTGGATGCAAAGCTTACCTGGCAACACCACACTACGCATGTTGTCTCTAAGATCTCCCGAGTCTGCTTTTTGTTGAGAAGACTTAAGAGTTGCGTCTCGGATAATATGCTCATTACTGCTTATTATAGTTTCTTCCACTCTCATCTTCTGTATGGAAACATTCTGTGGGGTAATAGCGCTGGAGCCAGAAAGGTTTTCTCATGGCAGAAAAAAGCACTGAGAATAATTTTTGAAATACCACGCAGAACGACCAGCAAACCTTTTTTTAGCAAACACAGAATAATGACTCTACCGTGTATATTTATTTTTCAAAATTTGCTATTTGTTAAAGAAAATCTTTCATCATTCCCAAAACGTAATGAATTTCACAGTTATAATACTAGAACAAGTAACCACCTAGATATTCCGATAGTAAGATTATCAAAATCAACTAATAGTCACAAATTCCTCCAAATACAGCTCTTTAATAAGCTACCTGTATCGTTTCAAGAGCTTAGCTTTAATAAATTTAAAAATAAATTGGCTGTTTGGCTTCTTGACAGAAGTTTTTTTTCAGTAAAAGAATTTTTAGAATACCAAATACCTAATATATAGTTCATTGTTTTTTCCCTTTTCAATTCATGCTGTAACTTATTTTCTTTCAACACAATTGACCTAATCCATAGAAAGTTTGTATTTATTTTGACGTTGTCTATTGTACTTTTGTTTGTATTTAATGACAATAAAGATATTCTTATTCTTCTTATTCTTATTCTTATTCTTAAGTATGAATGGAGATGAATGTAGAATGAGTGGCACGATCTTGTAGTCTTGTCAGTGACTAAGGCTGACAAATTCCTTAGACACAGATGTTAATTAATAGCCCTCCATACAGCCAATGGCAACTAAGGGACCTACAGTTTGAGTTTATAGTAGAATCTGAACCACATTTTTACCTTGTGAAAGACAAATTGGTCTAATTTATGAGGATAGTACTGTGAATATTAGTAGTACTCACTAGTACGGACCTTAATCGACACCAGGGAGTATCGAAATCACAGTGAATGCCTATAAATATCCACAATTTGTGACCTCGAAGTGGCTGCATTACTGGACAATGCACCGTCCCAGTCGTACCTTCATAATTTTTAGAAGCAATTATTTAGATTCTTAATGAAATGCAAACAGATCAGTGGCGATTCTAGGACCTTGTCAATGGGGGGCTACTGGGGGCTTTGGGGGGTGAGGAACAAAAGGAGGTGGTCTGAGATTTCCCTTTATTTTTTCAGAAGAACTAGGCTATATCCAAAAACATCCATTGTGTTTTTGGGACAAAATATATGTTAAAATTTATTTTTCCAGGGTCCAATAGGGGAAAGCCCATGTAGCCCCTCCCCCTAGAAACGTAACTGAAACAGATGGTAAACTTTAGACAGCTCTTTAGACAGGCAACACAAAAAATAACTCTGTACAATACAGTAGACTCCCTCTTCTCCGGACACCTTTTAACCGGACATCACTATCAGTTTAACCGGACATCACTATCAGTTTAACCGGACTACACTTGGCGGAAATTACATCTCTTTAACCGGACAATTTTTATCAGCACATCGATTTAACTGGACTAGATCGCCAGGAAGTGGGCAGTACTAAAACAACTGTTTTTGTGCAAAAGATTTGAGACCAATTATCACGTAGGCTATCTAAATACAATGCTCTCCTAAATTTAAGTCAAATACTGTATACAGTACGGTATGCATTTAAACGGTCCATTTTAATGACTTTTTGGGGACCCGTTATTCGGATTGGCCTCGGTCCCGAGGAGTCCGGATCAGAGAGAGTCTACTGTATTGAGTAACCTAAAATATATCTCAACTAACCTCCTCGCTGACTTTAAGATCAGGCACGCTATGTACCATCGGCACTGATGCTTGTGACCTGACAATATCCTCTCTGCGAAGATCCGCTCCACACTCAGCACAAAGATCGTTCATGACTGTAGGATGGGAACATCCTAGTTCCAGCTCAACTAATGGAGCTCTGGAAATGTAAATAGAATGGCATTAACTTAGTTGAGTAAGTTATAACCTCTCAATTCAAGTATTATTTGCGTCCAGGCCATAGAGATGCTTGTGATGGTAAAGTGATTGCTAAGATGGTGTAAGATAGAAGGATGCCAAAGGATGAACTTTTGTTTTAATGGGGTACCTACAATTGTTTAGGCCTACCTATAGGCTTAGTAAGCTTTCAATAACAGTTAAATATTACCAGTGGAATTAAGGTAAATTAACCTCTTTACCATGATTAGGCCTATGGTGAAGAGAGGTTAAAATTTAACTTAATTTCGCCTTGTGACTCATCCTTAGAGAAGGAATCGTTCCAGTGACGAGTTTTATGGCGGAATAAAGGTAAATTAGCCTCTCTTGCCTATAACGGGAGGAAGTGACTCGAGACTAACTTACACCAAAATTAAATTACTGTACAATATGTTATCGGATAAAACATTTGTACAATACCTATCTATATTCTATATCACATTGAATATAACTTAACTTTGATTTCACTCAAAATAAGTTAAATAGGTACCTATCTATTCTAAATTAGGCTGAACTTAGGTTTTTCAAGAATATTTTTTTCACTGCAGCCCTGTAAAATGTAGGCCTATACAAACAAGTAGGCTAGTTAACTTATTATTTTGCCCAAGAGATAACTTAGTAAATCTTTTACAAGGGCGTCGATTTGTATTCGCATCCTATTTTCATGAGTTTAAGTTGGGTAGACTTCCGTATCTGTTGTCAAAAACAACCGAATGAAAATATCTATCGATACATTGTTTGGTTAGTTAACTTAGGTTAGGCTAGGTTAATCTGATTTAACTAACCAAACGATATATCGAATGAAACCATTGAACAATCGGTATTTTCATTTGGTTGTTTTTGACAACATATAAGTACGGAAGTCTACCCGCTAAGTCAACATTAAAAGGGGTAACTTATATTTTAATCGGGGTTTTAATCGATCGATATATCGAATTAAACAATCAAATGATCAATATTACTCATTCGGTTATTTGTGCCAACAGATATGGAAGTCAATAGTCTCTTAATCAATAGTTAAGTGAGTTTAGGCCTAGGCTAAGTTAAAACTTGTATCGAAGAAATATTTCATCCGATAATAACTTATGTCAAAGGTTCTCAGCAGAACTGTACCAAGGCCTAGTTAACTTAGTCAGCAATTTTTTTTTTCTCAGTGGTTAGGCCTACAACATTTAAGTTATATAGCTTAAGTTAGGCTAACTTAAATAAAGTTAGCTAGCCTAAATTATGCCTTTACTTGGTAAGATAATTTTCTTTGAAAGGGCTTTTTGCCGTTAGTATTTTGCTCGGCTATGGCAAAAATTCGAGGGATCATTAAAACTAGCCTAGCTTATAAACTACAACGGAATGTGATAAGTATCGCAAGACATTCAAATTTCCCGCTTTCAGCTTACCCTCCATCCACAAGTTCCCCTTCCTTGACCAACAATTTGCGAACAGTTCCAACCGCTGTAGCCTTTAATTTCTTCAATTCGGAACTTCCGTCGTTTGATTTTACATCGTAATGCAATAGTACACGTCCGTCGTACACAATTGTCCCTTCTTCTACCTTCCATTTCAAAATTTTTGCAGAATTTTGGCTCGGAAGAGAAATGACTACACTCTTGGCGCCCATATTGACCACGAACTAATTTCCTAAGCTTTGTGGTTCGAGGTCTCGGATTGGTCCAGAGTCTGAAAATGAAATTTACCGGCCAATGAGATGCCAGATTCTAAAATTCACTTTTCTGGTGGTTATTGATCGATTGCTGAATGCTGACTGACCGAGAATCAGAACAACGCTTGTTTTTGTTTAATGTTTAGTTGTTTACAATAATTTTAACTTCTTCTAGTGTGCCTGTGCTGTGCCACGCCACGATTTAAAAATTCTCAGTTCCTTCCTTATCTATGTACTGTACTCTCATTCGATTCTAATAAAGTTAACCTTATTTCTCTTCGACCTATCATAGCACATAGCCTAACTATTTTTGAGGTTGGCAAGGCAAATGTTAATGTTACCATTATGTTACGCATCTGACACTACTAATTAATTACTGTATGTGTCTATGCAATGCAATGCAGGCATAGCATAAAAGTGCTGATGAATCTAAAATCCTCTCGCTCTCGTCCAATAAGCAAAAAACACGATTTGATTTAACTTGAAAAGGGCTAGGAGAGACTGTAATAATTACAGTTATAATAACAATTATTACAATTACAATTATATTATTATTACAATTATAATTATTACAATTATTGTAATAATTAATTTAACAGCACTCTCCCTTTCACTGGCCCTAGATAAGACAGTAGTTCATCAAAGTAACCTTCAAATCAAAACATTATGACTTCTTACTCAATTTTAACCTAAGTTAGGCCTATAATAATTTTGTTTACATGTTTTTAAATTTTGGGTTAAAATGCCTCTAAACCAAAAGAGTTATGCCAGAATATGTAGAATAATTTATTTTACTGTATGATTACAGTATAACACCTATGAATCCCTAAACATCCTTAGTAAGCCTATTATCAATTTAAACTTTATATTTTGTGTTAGACCAAGGCCCCACTAGCTTTTTCTAGTGGGGCCTTGGTTAGACCTGACCAAAGGGGTTAGCACCATAAAGATGTGGGATTTCTCTCCGCTCTGTGGAGTTTTGTTTAGTGATCAAGGTGTAGGACAAAAGGTGTTTAGTTTTCGCAGCGGCTGCACTTTACTTTAGGTCCTACACTCATTCGAATGAAAATATCAATTATTCGATTGTTTCATTTAATATATCGTTTGGTTAGTTAGGTTAACTTTACCTAACTAACCAAACGATATATCGAATGAAACAATCGATTAATCCCGATATATCAATCGAATGAGTGTAGGACCTAAAGTAAAGTGCAGCCCCGGTGGACATTTTCTTTTAGAAGTTCAACACAGAAGCTTACTGATAATAACTTAACTGTAAGAATACCGGTACTCAGGTCTTTAAAAGAGGGCCTACAATTTTTGGTGCATATTCAGCTGACATTGACATGATTCTTACAGCTTGTTTTCTGGAGAAGTAAAACAAAGCATGGTAGGCCTACATTAGTTATCAAGTAGCCTACCGATTGAAGATTCCTTTGGAGGCAAATTGACCAGGATAGTCATGTACGCGTACATACCCTATCAATGTGTGAATTCAGCTCAGTTTGGGATCCACCCAGAACCCTCACCGCCTGATCCCTGAGCGGATTCCCAGTGCAGAGCAATGACTGAGTCTTATCTGTATTTTTAGGCAGTTTAATGTGAACCAGATTTTGGTCAGCTCCAAAAGATGATTAGCTTTAATGTGTAGTTGCTCAACGTCGCTTCCTCTACTAAGATATCTACTTACTTAGGCTTTATGATTATTCTTCTCTCAAAAGCAGTGTCCTATTTCATTTCCTTTTCATCTTAGAAATCCTACATGTTTCAAAAATATTTCTTTTAAAAAAGATAGTTTACTGATTGAAAGCCCTGGAACAGTTTAACAAAAATAGCGATTCCAGAAAAATTAACGTAGTGTATATTAACTCTACTTTTTATTGCAGCAAAATAGCTGATGGACTATATGGTGGTGTCCCTTAATGAGACAATGGGACAATCAATGCATTATTTGATTTGATTCTATTTATAACACCTATGCACATGTCAAGTGTGGCTTTTAGCCATCTTTGTTGAATTTAAGTCAATTTAACCGTATTGTCCTCTAGTAAATGAGGTGAGGTAAATGTGACAATGCCTAAAACAAAACAGAAAATACATAGAAATTTTAGAGGTGTGAAGGTCATAGTGTAAACATTACATTTGAAGAGTTTGTACATGGGTGTAACATAGCCATAGTGTAAAATTAATGAAACAGAGCGTGTCACTGATTTTGTACGTTTGCCGTGGAGTGACTGACGATTAGGAGAGGGTGAAAGGGATTGCGGTGCTGTCAACCATTTATGCTTTTGATTTTACAATATTTAGTTTCCAGACTATTACAGCTTAGTTTCTGTTACATAGGCCTATTCATCGAATACACAGAGAAATTAAATGCCTCGGACAGTAGTTACTCTTTGCAAAATAATTGGCATTCAACACAAAGGTAAAATAAACAATATAATCTGAAAATACACATTTTAATACATAATTAAAATTTGCACATCATATGTACTACATTTTAATTAGCATTATAGCTGTGGAAAGCACTTATTTTTACCTACAAAAGTGAGACTGCATTGTAAAACGCATTGATTGATAAGAATAAAAGTTACAAGTAAATTACTTATGACCTGCTTAAGAGATAAATAATCCAACATCGTGAAGTTCTGGGCAGATATGAGATTTTCTACTCATAAAAAATTAAATAAGTTTTATTATGTTTCAAATAAATTGTTACTGTCAAACGTTTGTTTTACTCGTTTTCTTCACCCTAGCATAATTCAGTCATAATGAAATCTAGACAGAAATAAAATTAGTATAACCACATATTTTTAAAGCCAGGAGTTTTTGTATAGGCCTATATAATTAACACAGATTAAGAGTAATAAGATCTATTAAATTCAAAATTTTAAATAATATACCTATCATTTTTTAAACTAATATTTACCTGTATACAGTTTATTCTTAAGGTTTAGTGATCATTTAAAGTTTAGGGAATATTTCACATTAAATATTCCCATTAGGTAGCATTAAAATAGTAAAATGTATTTTTATTTTATTTTTATTATTTTATTACAATCATTAAATTCCTTTGTTGACACATTTACCCTAAATTTGCCACTTTAAACCCAGTTAATGTTCCAACAGAGTTTTAGCTTTAAAACTTATAACAAAAATTCTTGAAAAGTACTTTTCTATGAGCCTCAAAGATTAATTATTAAAATGCATGTGTCAAAAACAGAATTCGAGTTAAAACGTTATTTTTGCTATGAAACAAAAATGGAATAATGATAAGGTAATTAGTCTTCTTAACGTTAATTCTTTAAACAACCTCGGAAAACATGAACCAAGCTGGCATTCTTATAAAACGTTGCCAGTAACATAAACCATGCACTCTGCTAACTTAGACACAAAATCACACAATTTTACATCACATAATTTGTATTTACTCTGTACTGTATATTACAAATTTGAGGGGAAACGTCTGTTATTGTTTAAGTGCATATCTAACTAAGAAACACTAACATTGTGTAGCTGAGCGTATAAATAGAATATTAAGCTTTTTTAAGTCATTCCCTACTAAGCAAGCGAAAAAAACATAATTTTGACACAACAAATATTAATAAAGCTGTGTTTAAATATATTTACGCCTTGATAATTCGTAAATATTTTAGTTACAACATTAATATACTGTTTTACAGCTTGTGTATTTTACGTACACAGCATTAAACATTGGTTTTGCTTGAGCAATGGCAAAGGACATTTGCCAATTACAATATATAAATTAGAGTAAAAAATCCAAACTCTTTTCTTTCCGATCAACACTGTCTACTGTACTAGCTAGACGCTGGTCTGAATGACTCCACACCAAAGGCCTTAAGGAAGACACATTCAGTCAGGCCGTCAAATTACGTTAACGCAAAAAACTAAGTACATAATAAATACTTTATTCGCACATCGGCTATCAATGAACATATCACGCAAAGGGTGTATGTACAAATAAGAGATTGTGACATTCCCCTCAAATTTGAAAACAATAACTGATGACTGGAATATATTACAAGTTAATAGTAAATTATGAGACGGCCGCGGAGATCTAACAACAGCCACCGCTCTGCATGGACCCCTGACTGCCAGGAGGGAGGCTTGGGTTGCTGGGAGAGTGCTGCGGCCCAATCTTGATACCGTTTGCCTGTAAACCAAAACCAACATGTAAGTTGAAATATATAAAGTAACTTTAAGGTGATTGTAATTTTGTTTGTACAAACAAAAATGGTTTTGAACCCTAAGTCTCAATCAGATGGTTCTAAGATGAGCAGCATTTTAGCCTACTATACTATATTTATAAAATTTAGAAGGTTTTAGGAGAAGAACTCTATCCCCTCATGATCCTACTTTTAAAACAATAGTTCAACCGCTGAAGTTCGTCAAAACGTCAATCAGCTGCATAATAATACATTATGAGGGTAATGGAAGCCTATGTTACATTATGCTAACAAAAGTGCACTTTTCTCAGTGTTCATCAAAGATAGATATAATTTTTTACCTACGACTGTTTTTTAAAGTAGTGGTTGCAGTTCAGTTCTTAGAATTGTAAAGTTTCTCATCACAGCACAGTTTTAATCATAACAACACGGGTAACGGACCAATGAGATTCAAGAATTGAGAGAGAAGAAGTAAAATTGTAAAGATTCAAACTTTAACTAATCGGCTGTTCAGGCCAATTTAATTGTTGAGTGGTGCAATTAGTGTTTGGTGCAATGTTTCGTTGCTTCACCGTTAGTGTCAATGAGAGGTTATAACCAAAAACATAACCTCTCTAAAGAGTTATGAGTAGTGGTTTTTAGTAATTAAAACACTGTCGTAGGTAAAGTAGTGTACGCAACTCGCGTTAATAGTGTTAACGACACTCTTACAAGTTTTACTACTCAAGTCGTTAACACTATCTTTACGCAATTGTTGTGTAAACTACTATTTCATTTTGATGAAGAAATAATTTTATATATTTTATTTAACACAAGGTTTTTGGGTTATAGCTATTAGAAATATTTTTTTTTAATACAATAAAAAAATGTTTATGCATTTATTATACTGATTTTTACCAAAGAGATTCTATTTTTACATTCCTATATCCTTATGCTAACTAATTTGAGTTAACTAATATGTTAACTAGTGAACCTTAACATGGAAGTGTTACTAACCTCGTTGTTAATGTCAAATACACCCTCCTGTATTTTCTCGTAAATTTCTTTGGCTGTGTTAATGAAAGCTTCTTCAACGTTCGCTGACGTTTTTGCTGAAGTTTCCATAAATATGAGACCATGTTCCCGGGCAAATGCTTCGCCTTCTTCTTTCTTCACCTCCCTCCTCGACTCCAAATCACTAGAATGTTGAAAAAAATCATTATTTAATCTTAATATTCTTCTACACCCGTCAAAATTTTAGTTTTTGTATCTGTAAAATTTGACGCTGTAACATTTCTTGATGAAATTGTAATAAAGAAATTGTCTATTGTCTATTGATACTTAAGCCCCGTTCACACGGGGCAAGTTTACAAGCTACACGCCAGCTTTTTTACACGCAGCTAGTAAAATAGCTCAGTGTGAACGACGTACTCGCTCAAAAGCTGCTTGTAAAAAAGCTCTGGAAAAAGTGGACGCTGCTGCTACCTTACACGCCAACTCGCCAGCTTTTGAGCGAGTAGGCGTGTAAAGTAGCCCAGTCTGAACACAGTTGCTTGTGCTTGTGCGCATGTTATTCAAAGATGGTGGAGGATTTGGTTCAAGCCAGCTACTGAGTGAGTGGAAAAAGCATCGTGTGAACGACTACAAGCGCACTCGCCGATTCGGTGGCGTCTTTTTACACGTCTTCTTTTAACGCTGGTGAGTAGCTTGTAAACTCGCCCCGTGTGAACGAGGCTTTAAGATGATGTATAATACCTGCATATAGTAATCCTTTGTTGTTGTTTTGGCGACTAGTTTCGGTTCTTCAGACACATTGAGGCCTGAAATTGGTTCAGAAGAACCGATACTAGTTGCCAAAACAGCAATAAAGGATTACTACGCAGGTATTGTAAACTATTTTAAGTATAACACAGAAATCCGGAGGCTAAACAACTATATTTTTTAGTTGATGTTTTATATGAGACCTGATCAGAAGAGTCAATGCCTTTTCGTTCTTTATTCTTTACCACAGTCCTTTACTCCAAAAAAATCAACCATCAATTATCCGGGGCAAAACACTAAATGAATTTAAAAAATAGGAAAGCCGTCCTATATATACAAAAATCCCAAAAATTCTTTTAACCCTTTGGGTGCCAGAAATTTATTTTGGTACTTTCCGAAAAGTGCCAGAGTTTTTTTACTAGTTATGTCTGAAAAGTGCCAGGCTTTTCGTTGGGGCGAAGCGTAGTGCACAAGAATAAAAGTCGGTAAAAGTATAAATTTTCATCCTAAAAGTGCCATGGAACGATATATCGTGCCTCGATCGTATGAGAAATCGATTGAAATCATAACCAAGTCTACCGATATGCCCATTAAAATTCACATGATCGAAAGTCGCACCGGCTCAATATATCGTTGCAATGTATTTTTCGGTAAGACTACCAAAGACAATATATCGTTGTGAAGTATTTTTCAAATGTGTTGTGCAAAACGATATATCGTTGCGTGGCACTCAAAGGGTTAATAATATACATAACTACTGTACTAATGAAGCAATCAGTATGAGCAAGACATTGCCAATAAAAAAAATAGGTCTAGAGTAGAATTTGTTCTTAATTAATTATTGGGCTTACACTCAGAAAACACAAACAGGAGGATGTAAGAGGGGCCTTTTTATTAGAAGAGAGTTATTTCCATTTTACTTTTGGAAGAAATAATTTAGTAACACAAAATAATTTGGTAATATTCAACAAGATAGTGTTTTTCCATTTCACTTTTGGAAATACACTTAAAATGTAATCTGTATTCCAGTTTCAAGCAGGGAGTGTGAAATTGAGATGATTTAAGCCACAGCTCACAATGATAAAGAACAGCTGGGTCCAATTTCAGTTTCACCAAGAACTACCAAAGCTACCTGATCTCGAGATCCAACCTGCACCCTACTGATTGTTAGGCGAGCACTATATTCATACTTAAAATTAAAACTAAAACCACTTATTTACACAGCTTGAAACAATGAGTAAGGAGTAAAGGCTGAATCCACTCATTTACACAGCTTGAAATAATGAGTAAGGAGTAAAGGTTGAAACCACTCATTTACACAGCTTGAAACAATGAGTAAGGAGTAAAGGTTGAACCCACTCATTTATACAGCTTGAAACAATGACATTTACACAGCTTGAAATAATGAGTGAGGAGTAAAGGTTGAACCCACTCATTTACACAGCTTGAAATAATGAGTAAGGAGTAAAGGTTGAACCCACTCATTTACACAGCTTGAAACAATGAGTAAGGAGTAACGGTTGAACTATCTAATGTGTTTAGTATTGAGCTGTGATGTCTGTTATCTAATTAATTACACTATGAAGTACAGTACAATATCTAATCAGAACATGAAAAGTTTCTACTGTTGGGAACACTAGAGTGGACAAAGGTCACCCATAACCATTGTGGTGATTCCAAAGTTTTATTTAAATTGCAACAGTTGTTCAATATTAAATCTTGTTTAAATAGTCAATGTTTAAATGCAGCTGGTTGAAGTGATGCATTTAAATCAAATAACTTGGAGTGTTTTCTTCCACTACACAATGGCGTTTACTCCAATTTTCCAAACTTCAAATCACACTCGACCGCTTTATTTACATAATTGCCTTTTTATCTTTTGTAAAAAAATGTGGCAACCTAAAATTTAAAAAATACAAATTACAACTCTTACGCAGGTTTGAGATTGAACTATCATTTTTGTGACCTTGAATAGTTTATTCAATCGTGTTTCATTTAATTAATTGGTAAACTTATCAGGTGTGGAAATCACCAAAACAGCACCTAAAGAATATTTTTTTGGGACTAAACTGCCTATTTTCATGCTAATACCAATTACTGGTATTCTAAAATCATTAGACACAACACCATTCTCATAAAACTAGTTTGAATTGGAATACTAATACAGTAGTTGAGATTTTCATAGTTTATTAAAGTTCTTTCTCAAAAACAAAATGACACAAGCTGCATTACGGTAAATATGCCAGTTTAGAAGCTATTCTGATTCAAATATATAGTGAATAAATACTGCAAACAATCGGAGAAACAAATTGATTATTTATTATAACACAAAAATAACTTTACCTACGACCGTTTTTTAAAGTAGCCATTTCAGTCCAGTTTTTAGAATTGAAAAGTTTCACTTTACAGCTGTTTACTTTCATATCCTCATAGTTTCATTTCATATCCGCATAGTTTTCTCATATCCACACAGGTAACGGACCAATGAGGTTCAAGTATTGAGAGAAAAGAATTACAATTGTAATGCTTCGAACGTCAACTAATCAGCTGATCAGCTGATCAGTTGACCAATTTAATTGTTGATCCGACTTGTTCATGTTGATACTCGCGTATTCTTAATTAAGTTGGTGGAAGTCCAAAAATAAATGAAATATTTGCCGAATTGTACCTGATACAATATTATTTATGGTAAGAATGCTGCTAGCAATGTAATATTTAACGAAGTTTAACAAACACGTAATTACAGGAAATCAGCTGATTATACAACAAGTCGTTGCATCACTTTCAGTGGCAATGACAATACACGAAAACATAACCTCTCTAAAAAGTTATCAGTAGTAGTTATTGTTAGTAATTAAATCCAGATTGATAGTAATTAAAAAACGGTCGTAGGTAAAGTAGTGTACGCAACTCGCGTTAATAGTCTTTACGACACTCGTAGAAGTTTTTAAGGCACTCGCCAAGGCTCGTGCCTTAAATTTTCTACTCGTGTCGTAAAGACTCACTTAACGCAATCGTTGCGTAAACTACTATTATTTTATATCTGTCACTTAGTCCAATGATAACTGCTCAGCCAAGACAACGATTTCAAAGCTTGCAACTCATTAAAAGCATAAACAAACATTGAACACATTTTTCTAATAACCTAAATCAATTGTTCAATAAAGCCATTTGCAAATATCAGCTAATTGATTATTATTTTGCTTAATGAATTGAATACATTTATGAAAAAGAAAGAAAAGTATGTTTCTGATTCTGTTTATCCCAAAATGTTGATGTAGGTCAAGCTGAATCAAGTTCAGCTATAAAAGACCCGATAAAGACAATAAAAAATTAAAGAATAAACATCATTGCAGCTGTATTATTATGTATTCATTACCATCATACAAGAAAACTCTTCACGTTCAGAAAGAAACACTTGATTTAGTTATTGGAATGCTTTGGGAGCTAAATCTCGCAGTGACCTACATCACATAAACAGACACTGATTAAAAATTAATACTAAAATAAAACATTGTTACTACCAAAGATAAGAATAGGGCAACACAATGTTTTGTTAACGTCTACTAGTTATCACTTATCTAGCTATTGGAGGGATCACATTCGGTTTGAATCGTTTCATCATGTTAGGGAATAACAAACTTTGATTGTAATAACAATCACACAATCCTATTAAAAAAATATTTTTACTTTAATAGAGAACCCATGCTGCTCCGCAGCGTTGAAATAAATATTATATTAGAGAAATAATCAAATTTATGATTTTTGATTGAGTAATATAGTATATTGAATTTAACTGATTCAAACAATCAATAGCTCAAATTAAAGCCTATAATTAACTGATTATTTTGAGTCTAAAACATAAAAAAACACAAACAATACTGGAGCTATTGATTTTTAATCATAGAAAAACCTTATAAAAATAATTGTTATGTTAGCTGTTCACCTTGGGTTTGCTTGAAACTCGGCCGATTTGAATGACTATAATAGCTAAAATCTGTGCGTCTATACCTTCAATTTGAGATCTCAATCATAAAAACCAGTCGGGGAGAAGAGCTAAACGAAATCGGAAAAGAAAAACCAAACTTTTTAAATAACGTATATAAGATTGCTTTGGCTTGAGAACTGTTTTGTATTTGTATTTAACTTAAACAATGAACTAGTGGAATAAACAAACAAAAGTTTTTCCACCAGTCTAGTAAATAGTCCTATTTTTTTTACGCTAGTTAAATTAAAGTGTTTTAAAATGAATCAGAATAGTCTTTTACACAATTTTGTATTACACACAATACCAAAATTGATCCAAAATCATAAAAGATCTCTTCCCGATTCATACTGACAAAAGACCTTAAGTTCTTGACCGTTCTATTTACATTACTTTCCGTCTCATGTTAAAGTATTCTCCACAACCATTCAAACATAGCTGGGTAGCAGAGTGGTCATTTTGTGTTTGCCTTGTAGTCAGAAGTTGGCTTGTTTGATGCTGAGAAAAGTCAGAAACATTATGATGGTGTGAAACTGGACCCAAGAACTGTCCTTGATTACACTAATAGTCCTGGCTAATGAAACAGTGTATCTTACACAGATCATCCACTCAATTCTTCTCATATTGCATATAAATCAGCTTAAGATGCAACTCGCAACCCAGTGACAGTAACTGTCCTAGAAACATTAAGTACCTCGAATCAAGCCTTAACGTTTTTGACAACCATAATGATTTTGACTTTACCAAAGTCAAGATATCAATCCATAAAGAACATAAAGGATAAAGATACAGAATGAGTAAAATGTAAACAACTTCATGATAGTAGCGAGGACAGTTAACGAAACTCGCACGTTAATAAACATGATGTTCCAGTATTGTTAATAACACAATCCTTATATATAATACGTGAAGGCGTTTTCTACGAAACACTACTCCTCCGTTAATAATGTACGGATTCTTACAAACGATGTGTCAAAATTGAGTATGTTTTGTGTAGACGCCCCATTTCACCAATTCCTGTCATAAAAGTCCACGGGCTTTGCCCCACAGGCCATCAAAATTCCAATTTATTTCTTATGATAAAAAGATTTTGTTTACTTAAACAGACAAATATTTTGTATTAATTACAGCTGTTCATAGTAAACACATGATAAACACAAGAGCGTTCGTTTTCAGTTTCGATAACTGGAGTGGAGTGATTGATTACATTATCCTTGAGTTGACCTTGTTTTAAGTCATCGGAAATTATGACTGTTATTCGTTTTGAAATTACGCCTGTAATACTTTGCAATTGCTCGAATTCAGCAACAGGTTCACTAGTATCTCATAATTTTTGTAACATTATAGCTATTACCAGAGCTGTACTGCACGTATAGGTAGTGTTGCTGTCATGTATACCCTAGGCTAACCATAGTTAGTGTTCAATTTGTCTAGCCATATTTTTTGTAAATGTTTGTATCTTTTGTTAGTTTTGTCTGGCAGAACTAATAAATTAAATTGTAAAAATAACAATAGGCTAATTAAACTCATAAGTCAAACTATACTCTGAATTCAGGGTACATAAATTAAATGTACACACATCAAGGCCTGCACATATGGCTTATATGACCAAAAAACTTTTTTATGCCGTTGGCACCTAAATTATTGGTGCAATAAACTGGGTGATTACATTAAGAAAGAAAATAAATTGTTTGGATGAAAAATAAACAAAAACAATTGAAGCGCCATTTGTTGTCACTACCTGAATATAGGCCCAGTGGCGGTTCCAAGGGGGAGACTATAGGGGCTAAAGCCCCTCCCCCTTTGGATCCTGGAAAAATTAATTTAAATATAGGCCTACATTTTGTTCTAAAATTTTAATGGAGGTTTTTGGAAACAGTTCTAGAAATAAAAAGTGTCTTTAGAAAGTCACCAAGCGGCTTTAAAAATACCAAATCTTTTGGGGGAGTGTTCCACACACTACAACCCCCCCGGCAATCTCCCTCCATAGGTCCTAGAACCGCCACTGTATAGCCATATTCTGGAAGAATGCATATGTCATAATGTTTTATGTTTTACATATTTTTTAAGGTTAAGTACTCGGTACAGTTTATGACACCATGGTGGGGTACCTGATGTACAAATATGAAATGAAGACAATTTGATTTCATCACTCTTCACCCACCTCTTGTTGCCGATCAGCATAATAACCATATTAGAGTTGCTATGTTGCCTGGCGTCCTCCAACCAAGTGGTCAGATGGTTGAAAGTCTCGCGCCGGGTGATGTCATAGACCAGCAGTGCGCCAGCTGCGCCACGGTAGTACGATCGGGTGATGCTGCGGAACGCCTCTTGTCCCGCAGTGTCCCAAATCTGCAGCTTGATCTGCTTTCCGTCGATGGTGATCATGCGCGCCCCAAACTCCACACCTGAGAGTATTGAATAGTTTGTAATTGACAACTATTGCCCAGTGAATGGCTAACATTAGGTTTAACAAGTACTTGATTTGCTGCTACAGGGTAGGTAATGATTTGTTTAATGTTAATAGCTTGGTATGAAATAAATTTGCCAAATATTATCTAAATATTTCCATATCCAAGCAAACTACAATTAAATAATCCTCCATAAACAAAACAATTTATCCTCCGCTAATAATCGAATGGGCGGGTTTTTACAAACAATTTGTCAAAATAAAGTGTTTTTTTTATGTAGACTCCCCCTTCCCCCTCAAGCATTCATTCCACTTGGAGAAAAGATTTTATTTACTTAAACCGACAAATTATTTGTATTAATTGCATAGGTTGATAGTAAAACACATGATGACATAAGAGCTTATATGTTATTGGCTGAATATAAACAAATGATACGATGATATCATCATCATCTTTTGTATATAAAATAAGTCAAGTCGTTTTTGTATGCTAAATGAAACTCCTCTATTATTTCTTAACAAATTTTAACATTTAAGGTGTCAAAAAAAAATTTTCAGCTTGTAGTTTTACAAAAAGGTTTTGGGTTTTAGACAAGTCTGTTTGGAAGGGCTCAAGCAGCCATTAAAGTTTGTTTTTCGTGTGTAAGATTAACATGGAGAATATTAAATGATGAAATGTAACGACTGTTAATAATAAAACTCAGAAAACAGAAGAAGAGATGTTAAACAAAATAAGAGGCTCCGGTGGGCTCAGGCGCGTAGTAGGTTCTAGGTTTGTTGGAGGTGAAAGGAAGAGATACTTCCCCACAAGAAGATCATCATGAGGCAAGGAATGGCAATGTTGCCATATGGGATATTACTTAACTTACTTACCTATTGTCAAATCATGAACAGGCTGGAACCTTTTGTCAGTAAACTGCAAAAGCAGGCATGATTTTCCGACCCCTGGGAACAAATACAATTTTTTACAATCATAATCTGAAAACTTTGTTTCGGTCTTACACAGGATGCGGTAGTAACAAAACTTCAGTTCTCAGTTAACAATAAGTTAAATAGGCTACTAGAAACTGTTTTTAACAAAGGAGAAAATAAAATGTTTATTCTTTATGTTATCAGTTGTATTCAGCTAACATAAAATAAAGCATTTGCAAAATTTTGATAAATAAATTGGCTATTTGATTTAAGTTATAGAAACTAGGCCTACATGCAAATGAGTCGTACAGCAATGAACAATTATCCTCAATAAGTAAGCAAACCTTTGAACTGAGGTAAAACATGATGTGTTTACTGAAATATTTTCAAACATTGACGATAATTTTAGACTCCTAGTTGGAGTTGGCCAACACTTGTAATTTTACATCTTATGTGACAGCATGAGATCCTCTTGGTTCATCTGAGGATCAATAATTTCATTCTCTTTTGTAGACAAGTTAATGACATAATAGACAATCAGACATTAGGATACAGCTACTGTTGTAGACATCCTATCTATTGACCAGCTGTTGCCAGATGTTTATTGAAAAAGAACGTAGTTGTGTGAAACAGTCACAGAATATGCTGGGGTCTAAAATTCTATTTTCCACCTTATTATTTTGTTGCTGACATATAGGTAATGGGTCATAACAGTTGCTATAGCTCAAAATAGATCTTGCAATTAGTTTGACTTGGTAAAAAAGTGTGTGTATTCAACAGAAATTGGTTACCGGTATTGAAATCAGCACAATCTGTTGGTGGCTCACATTAGTAGCGTAACAGAAGTAACAGCGAGATGCAGTGAAACAGGGAGCGGAAACCGGTGAGCAGAGAGGATAAGTTTGGAATTAGTGATAATATTACCTTCTAGTGTTCCAATTACTGCAGACTACTACTACGCGTTTCGTCAGCACTGTGACATCAACAGGTATGATATGGCTTTGTCTTCAACATTAAAATAAAAACAGTCATAACACACATTAAATACACAAAATTACATTTAACCCATTGGTAACGTAGTTGTGGTGGCCACATCAAGCGTACGCACATGTTTAATTCTGGACGACGATGTTACCCAGTTGTTGCCCAGAATGAAACATCTGCGTACGCATTATGTGGGTTGAATGTAATTTTGTGTATTTATTGTGTGTTATGACTGTCTTTTAATGTTGAAGATGGAGCCATATCCTACCTGATGATGTCACTGTGCTGACAAAACACGTCGTAGTACGTTAGTCCATAACAATTGGAATGCCAGAAGAAGGTGATATTACCATTATTTGATATTTGACGTTCCAGTAGTAGGAAATGAGTTCCAAAAAAATTGGAGTTTGTTCCTACTGAAATTTGTTATTTTAAATAACTATACTAAACAAGTAGGCCTACTTACGGTATGAAGAAAGATCAAGAAGTTATTTACTAAACAAGTACCGGTAGCTAAACATTAATATTATAAATAATTTGTTGTTATCGTTTAATTTTGTTAGGCCTAATCAGTGATAAGTTAACAAAATGAGGTAGGCTACTGTAACAAATTTTATGTTTTAACATGGGTCATTAATTATTATGCTAAGTTACCTTACTTTTGTACACTACTTGAGTATGCAACCAAATAACATTTTAAACATTAAGTTATCTGGAGCCTGCAGTCATTTAAAAACATTAACTGGGGTTTTTGATATATTGTCATGTTGGCAGCTCTGCTTAAGTAAGTTATCTGCTCTTCTCCCCACCTCAACAAACCATGACTGGAATACGTAAGTTAACACACCCTTTTTTATGAAACATTACCCATAATTTATTTACAACTCCATGTACGATGAAACTGTTTCGATCATTGTATCCGTGGTGCAAAAATAGCTCATGAGAGGGGGCCCCGAAAAATGAGTATGCAGGGGGGCCTAAAAATCTGTTACGCTACTAGCTTACATCAACTAACTTACCACGATTTACCTAGATTTTAAAACTGGCAACAAATTTAATATGGGAATGGAATTTCTATTTATCAATAGTCAAAGGTAATGCTCTCTTTTCCACATTAAGTCCAACCTATGAGTCACTTGGGCTAGGTACTACTTTTGTTGAATAACGACTTGTTTTCAGCTTTTACTGACTAACCTATGTTTATGAAAATGGTGTTCTCATAACTATTGAAAGTCAGATTTAATATTTTATGTTAACTCACCACAATGTAAGTCATGGATCTAGATAATAATAATAGGTAGGCCTACCGGTAGGTCTAAAAGGTCGAGCAAAACAATCAGTAACCTATTTTCTGTTACCGGTAACTTATTGATTTCTTTTATTTGATATAAATTTTTTAATCGTGATTAGGTTTAGGGTATAACATTGTTAGGCCTATTGTACTTTAGGGAACAAATCTAATACTATACAAAGGCTGTGAGCTTAAAATTTTAGGCTGATAAGAACCATTTGTATTGGCCTTATGCTTAGAATAGAGTAGGCCCTAGTTGTGCAGTTTTTAATTAGCAGCCCATCCAGCACGGTAGCATCACTAATGAACCAACCGATAAACGGTACCTAAATTTGATATTCAAGATTATTGCAATACTCAGTATTGCAAAAACCATGTCCCATATCCTTTGTGTATGTTCAACTAAGACAAAGCATTAGGAATAGACAATTATTGTTCAAAATATGGTAGGTCTTACTAACCTGTGTCTCCAATGATAATGTATTTAAACAAATACGCGTAGGACATCTTTAAATTATTCTTCAAGCACCAGTTACTCCCGTAAAAGAATTTAACACGTTAATACTCGAGAAAATTGGAATTATCAGCTGCAATACTTCTATAACGTTTTGTTGTTAATGAGTCGTAATATTTGACAGCAGCAAGCAGCTGTTTCAGAACGACGATATTCTTCAAGCGGACAGGAGTAGGAGGAGAAAATCGATAACTCCTCCCTCTTGTGATACTGTAATCATTTTTATAATAATTTCCATTCAAAATACTACATAATGTGTCATGTGTCTAAAAAATTGTAAAGCATGTTTTTCAAAATCCAGTATTTCTTTCATAAATTTTTAACTATCCTACACAATTTACTAAATATTTTAATATCTATTACGTAAGGCATCACTAGGCTATGCCAAACTTTCAAAGTCGGTACTCGGTAGCTTTAGTAAATTAAATAAGGATGTCTTACACATTACAAAATCTTAGCCATCCTCCCAACATTTAAATGAAATTAACAAGGTAATAGAGGGTTGCCGTCAAAGTGCCACCACAAGTTTATCCGGAGATAAAACGTAACTATGGTAAAACGTTGTGCACCCTCCCGTCCGTCTTCCAGCCACCACGTATGGAAACTACATCAAGTATTGTATACAAGTAAGTAAGTATGCCGGGGACGAGGTGACGCCCTGACAACCAGCCACCATGCAAACTGGTCGTCAAATCAAATCAAATCAAATAAAAAATTCTTTATTGCCGTATAAAACACAGTGACATGCATGGCTTGAGTCACATTATATTCAAATACAATAAATAAAATAAACATTCACATAAGTAAAAAAAAACCCTCTTTACCACCTATTTTTAACATAATTTTCTACAGAATAAAAACGTTTTTCGATTAGACATATTTTAAGTTTTCGTTTGAATAGCTGATGTTAATTATTAACTTATTAACTTAAGCTTGTCGGGCAGCGAGTTGAACAACGTTGTAAGGCGTTTAAAAAAGGAAGTTTTATGCTGTAGGATATTTAAATCAGTTCTTTTCCTAGTATTGTAATTGGAGTGAGGAAATAAAAGTTAAAAAAAAAACTATGGTTTTGCTTAAAAAATATTAAAGTGTTTGGATATAGATAAAAGTAAAAGTGAGTATTCTTAATTTAATGAAAGCCGATTTACATGATTCTCTTCGACCAATGCCAGCAATCAACCTATTGGTTTGCTATTCTGTCCAAGTCCAATTAAATATACATGATACAGTTGCGGGAGTAAGTTAATAGCTCTTCGAGAACTTTTTCCTCAGGAGGTTTGGTATAGTAAAATCTTAAAAAATTGTATTTTTAGCTGATTTCCTATTTAGGGAATAAGCTATTGCCGTAGGTAGAGGACCTGGTCCTATAACAGCCCCAGTCCGGTGGGGTTTCGGCTCCTCGACTGCGACATATCACGAGTTATACAAACATTTTTGCTCGAGTTATCACGCTAACGGACACTTACATTTTGTAATTTCCTTATGACGAGACTGATAGCATGTAATTGTTGAATGGTCAAATGTGATTCACACATGTATAAATTTAAACTGGGCGATTTTTTTGCCACGGCCGCCTCTAAAGGCAGCCGTGGTTTTTGGGCTCTGGGGACCTCAAAACGAAAAAAGCAAATCGGTCCCGGGTCTAGGTCTTACCATGAGAACTAGATCTCACAATGGAACATCTCACAGCACGTAACTGTCCCAAACTTGATTCTCAAAATTCGTATAAATCACCATTACTATAATTAGAATAAATAATGTATCATATCTTATTAGATAACAGCTCTGACTAAGATCGGCCGGGTTATTAGTCAAAATCATCAAAGTCCAATGATCAGTGGTGGTGTCAAGGGGAGGGGGCCCTTTTGGCTTAATGTTCCCCTATTGAAAAATGGATTTAGAGTCAACACAATGGTTTAAAAATACTTTCTTACTTACGGGGGTTCCCCACTGGTACTTAAAACCCCCTGGTAAACCACCCTCCCCTTGACAACAAAATATAAAATCGTTGAATCTTAAAATATTTGGAATCTATTTGAATTTTTAATCTAAGATCCTAAACCCACCACTACTACTAACTGATGTATGTTAGCTGGGTCCAGTTCCGAGTCACCAAGAACCATTGCAGCTACTTAGAGATGTGCCAAGCAGTTACTTGGGTGAAACAGCTGCAGCTAGTTCCAAGGTCGCCGTGGAACTCGTTCCAAAAGCAGTTCCAGCTGCAGCTGGTTTTGCCCGCTGCAGCTGGTTTTCTCGCTGCAGCTGAGCTCTGGCTGTAGTGAGTGGAACGAGGCAAAAGGGCGGATGAACAAAATATCAGTTTATTGCCATAATTTGAGACGGATTAGTTTAAGCTGTTCTTGAATTAGAATATTGTTTTAAATAATGCAAAATAGCGGCTTTAAAGAAATCAATATCTTGTTTTGAAAATATTGTACAAGTAATTAATTATTTTAGTTTGTCTATCTAGGGTCTAAAAATAATACGTGACGAGGCCGGTATAAATTATTTTAGAGGTTCTTCATATTATGCATTTATTCATATTATACATTTTTTATTGTTAAAATAATATTACTCAAACACCACTTACACTAATTCTTAATATAAAATTCTAAAATTAATAGCGAAAAAAATCCTGAATTACCGGTAAGTTAAACACATACAATTATTACGATACTGATTACTGAGGAAGAGATAATTATATTTGAATATATTATGAGCACGACTTAACTGGGACTGATGTACTTTTATTTAATTCCTGCCTGAAAAAAATAAAAAAACCAGAAAATTATTAATTTCTTTTAAGGCATGTCAACCATATCCGCTAATCAAACCTTTGTTTACAATAGACCAAATAAGTCAAACGCATCAGCTGCACAGGCTAGAACTTAATGTTTAGTGAGAGTATTAATAAACCAGCTGCAGCTGTTTTGTTGTAACTGTATGTGTTTTACAAATCCAGTTACTCCGGAACTTATCTTAAAAAATTTACAAAAAGGCTGCAGCTGTTTGTGCGGAACTACATTCAAATCGTTCCACCGAGCTGCAGCTGAAAAAGTAGTTCCAGTGGAACTGGAACTGGATTGTGGTTCCGCTTGGAACGGTGGAACGAGTTCCACTCTCGGAACGGTGGATAAATGTAGTTCCAGCTGCAGCGACACATCTCTAAGCTACAGGAAAGAAACGTAAGGAAAGAAAAACAAATTGAAACAGGCACCTTTCAATTATAATCATGAACATATTAGATAAAGATCTTTTGCTAAAAACTTGGTTACATTAATATACAGTCTGCGATATCTTCAACTTTAGTGAGTGTTGTACTCCATGTCATGAGATTCCTTTTTCTCTAAGGTCTTTCTTACTCTCTCTACGTGTGCGCATTGCATTGATAAATAACTTACCGGTCCAAGATGTCGGACGTCGAGGACGATTTTATGTGTGAAGAAGAGGAGGATTATGGCTTGGTAAATACGTTGTTTTTATTTTATTTATTTTAATACGACACAGTAAATTATTGTTTATAAGAAAAATAAGGTTTATGTTGGCATATAACCATTATGGTCAAGTAATTTGTAACGCCAGGTCACGAGTCATTACCCTAGCTTGTCTCCACATCGGGTGAAATAAATGCTCTCAAAAAGGTTATAATTTATTAAATATTGAATTAATTGATTGATCCATACAATGAGTATGAGAAATTTATTTCCTTCCAGTAAAATTACGCAATTTACATCATATCGCTAGTGAGTGTCAGGTACGTTCAAATTCAGAAGGCTAGGCCTATGATAGATTCTAGGTTCTGTCTCTTAAAATACTTCCTTGGTTCGAAAAACTGTATTTTCGTGGGCTGCAATTTTATCAGAGGTGATTGAATCAAATCAAATAATTTTATTCAGCCAAAGTTGACTGTAAATTGCATTAACTTAGCTGTCATTATTTAAAATGCAGAGGATAGGCCTATGCGTCCGGTAATCGGATGTGGATTAGGCGTCCGGCAGTTACCGTCATAACCTAACCTATCCAACCAAACTTGCTGATAGTGAAAAAATCAAATGAAGGTTAAATTCTGTTCATAAAATGAAATAAACTTATAAAATGCCAAAAATTCTTACATAAAATGTACCTACAGTTAAGAAGAAATGGCATTCAAAGCAAATTTTTTGACAAAAAGATAAAGTTGCCGGTGGGATATGAACCAGGCACCTCTTGCATATCAGCCGAGCACTCTATCCACTACACCACGAACACCGATGGCTGTACATTGTATCGTTGTGGTAATGGCGTTCCGGACACCCACAACCTGATGACGTCACTGCCGGACGCCTAAGTTAATCCACGTCCGGTTACCAGACACATAACTTAAGTACCTATCCTCTGTGAAATTAAAAAAATTTACATAGGCTTTTTTCCAGGCCTTTTTAACTTAACTTAGGCCTATACAAAGGTAGGCTATTTACAACTTAAGCCTAATCCTAATTATGGCAGGGTTTACCATTTTCCAGTTCTTCTGGTTCAAAAACTCTTGGAAGCTGTAACTTAAGAATGTTTTAAATTTGTAGTGGTTTGATTATAATTTTAAAGGGAGGGGAAGGCTGAAAGTCGTAATTTTAATGTAGTCTAAAATTGGATTGTAAAGCCAATGTTTTATTAGAAAGATGTTAAGTGTTTAAGGTATTAGCAGATATGGATTTTGCAAGGGGAATAACATATGGGATCTAGGTTAACTTACCGATAATGAGGTGTTTCTCTGAAACGGTGACAATGGAGGGTTCCAAGAATAGGCCTTAGGCCCTATAGGCTATAGATGGAAGAAGAGTTAACATTTTGGATTCATAAAAGAATTAGGATCGGAACTAGGCAGAGAAAAATTATTCTTACAGCGTTTATTATTTTTGAACTAAACTTATTTTGAACAGGTTACTTCGAACATGACCCCATAAGTTAGGCCTACTTACATACAATTACCTTATAATTAGGCTACCTTACAATTACCTTATGGCCTTATAGCATACAACCATTATACAAAAAAATCACCTGTGGACTCGACAATTTTTACTTGTGTGCTTTATATAATTTTTCCCAAGCATAATAAGTTGATAAATGTAGTCCACTAAGTGAGGGAGATTTAAGCTAGCCTAACAAAAATATCTTGATCTTTTGTGCCATAGCTTGGCTATCAGTCTGATTGCTCTTTTCTGGAGAACAAAAATTGTATGTAAATTACAGTCGGGAGAACTTCCCCAGAAAACAAGGCCATAAGACAAGAAAGAAAATAATACAACTAGACATTCCATCCCCATGTTAACTTTGTAGCCAGTTTTTAACCAAAATCATCGTAGTTGATGTGAGCCACCGAGAGATTGTGCTGATCTAAATTAATGATTTCTGTCGATTTCAATCACTACATCAAATTGTGCGTGGATTGATATCTGTTATTAGTTATTGTTTGGGCAATTATAAGGCCTATATAAGTTAGGTACTAGTCTATAAGTTAGGTGCCCCCACACGTATTACCGATTTTAATATCCTAAGGTGTGTTTACACTAATTCGAGTTAATGGAATGCGTAAGCGAGCAAGTTACTATTCTAGTATCGATTGACAGCTAATTCCAGCAGCGTTTACATTATTGTTATTAATTGGAATTGCAATAATAAAAGCAGATTGCGACTGTCGCGAGTAATGTAATTGTAAGGCTAAAGCGAAGTAACTTACTGTGTTCATATAATGTTATTTATGTTTAAATGTTTAATGAGTGAACTTATTCAAGAACTAACTTATGTAGAAATGTATAATATGTTTGTATAAATGTAGATGTAGTGAGTGAAATTATTCAAAAAGGTGTTTTGGTGGTATGTCGAATAAAATGAAATTTAACTTAATCATCATCATTGAACTTGTAGTTATCACTGGAAAATGAACAGTAAACACAAAAGCTATAAACAAACGGTAATGTTCTTTTTCCATCACACGTATGTTTTCACAAACTAGGCTGCATAAAGAAAGTTATCGTGTGCAAGCATTTCCCGACATGTTGGAAAGTAGCTCAAATGACAAATTGTCATTTGTGCTCATATTACACTACTAGCATGCTAGTAGATTTATGGTTGATACTTACTTGAGGAGAAATGCGAGCTCAAATTAATGTAAACCCACCTTTATTTTATAGGTTTTTATTTCCTAAATCCAATATTACCATTATTTTTTACCACAAATGATACAAGTTGATATTGTTCAAATACCATACACGACTTTTGCTTTGCAGGTTTATAATCAACAGTACCGGTAAGCCTAATGGTGTCACTTCTCAATTAAATTAACTTAGAATACCGTACTATTATTAACTTACTGTGCTGCTAAATTGATTTTGATTTTGAAGTTAAGTGATATTGAAGAGCATTGGTTCAAGATAAAAATTATTAATAAAATTTGAAACACTTCTATTTTAATTGATTGCATTGTCTATAATGTCTCCTTTAAATACTACTAGGTACCGTACCTTACTTTGTAGTCCTTATTTAGTAGGCCTAGTAATTAGTCCTTACCAAGCGTATTCATTCTTTACTGAGCTCAACTATTCTACATTAACTTACCTAATCCTTAAACTTCATTTTCAAAGAATTAATTAGCCTCCGGATTACTGTATTATACTTATAATGGTTTACAATACCTGCATCCCGTATAGTAACCCTTTGTTGCTGTTTGGCAACTATTCTAGGTTCTTCTGAACCATAATCAGGTCATTAACAGAGTTCAATAAATTAAACATATAACTTACGAGTTAGGACACAAGATAACATACAGCTACACACGTTTGCAAAAACTACGAAACACATTGACAAAAAACAAACGTGACCGGGAATGGTGCTTTTCGTAACTTAACTGAACCAAACTTCTATAAAGTTAATTTTAATGTAAAAATACCCCCGCCGCAGCAAACCTGCAGACTAAGCGAATTTCCATTTGACTAATTGGATTTACACTGAAATGTCTACTTAAAAATATAACATTTATTCCCGATTTAAAAAGAATTAGTTTAACAAGTACTTAGGTTTGCTGCATCAGGGAGGGTAAAACTGTTTTTTTTGTGTAAAGTGTTAATAGTTAGTAAGAAATAAAAACATTTTCCAAATTTGATCAAAATATGTTCATAAACAAGCAAACTACAACAGTTTACTCATTCTCCATAAGAATAACATGGGAATTTTAAATTTACAATTTTTTTTAATTTTCTCCGTAACCATTAGGCGCATAATAACGCTTCAATATACTAAATTATTTGTTTTTTGAAGCTCTACAAAATGGTTTGGAAATAAATTGCTAAATTTTATGTTTTTTGTGTCAAAAATGGGAAAAACCTATTTTTACCCTATAAAACCCCCCGTAAACACCCGTTCCCATGGTCCGATCATGCTGGATCGCGAACTCGTTCGAATAAACGTAGGTTTACACGTTTGTACCAAATTTCATCAAAATCGGATCAATTTTGCTCGAGTTATCGTGCTGACGGACACATATATATATATATATATATATGAATTTGAACGGATGGTGTTTTTGGCCTCTAGGGACCTTAAAACGAAAAAAAAAATTGGTCCCGCATCCAGGTCTTACCATGAGTACTACGGTAATAGCTTATTCCCTATACGGGAAATTCGCTAAAAAGGCATGCAAGAGGATGATCCGTCGGGCTTTGTGTGAATTTGTGACTGTTTAAGTCCTTATAGTATGAATTTTGGCTATAGCCTAGTTACTATTAGTTCAATTTTTTTTTTTTTTTTTTGTAACCTATTGGACTTGGCTAATTAATGCAATTTTTTTTCAATCCAGCCCATTAAGCCTAAACGATTCATTGACTTGGCTTAGTTAAGGTAAAATTTGGGCTATAATGGACCCAAGTTTAAATCGCCTCCAGGCTGTTTTTTTACAGTTAGAACCTTTTAAAATTCCCCTGCTGCAGCAAACCTGCAGGCTAAGCAAATTTCTATTTTCCTGATTTGATTTTCACTTAAATCTATTAATATAACATTAGGTCTAGTGAGTACTTACGTTTGCTGCTATAGGGTAATAAAGTGTTATTTAGTCAAATATTAGCAGCTTAGTGTAAAATACATAAATTGCCAAGTTTGATCAAAATTTAACTTAATCAAACAAACTCAGTTTACTTATTAACTTATACGTAAAAATAAAATGGGGATTTTAAATTTACACTGATTTGAATTTCCTCAGTAACCAATAACCTTAAAAAAACCACTTCAATATAGGCCTACTATATCATTTTAAATTTTTGAAGGACTTTTGACTAACGACTAATGATTAATCTAAATAGGCCTAATACATTTATTTTGAACTAATAGTGGTTTTGGCCTCTAGGGACATCAAAATGAAAAAGTAAATCGGTCCCGGGCCTAGGTCTTGCCGTTCCATCTACGGTAATAGCAACTTCCTTTAGGGAAATTTGATAAAACACTGCAAAATACATTAAAAAAAATATTTTGCAGTGCACGGTAACACTTTATTCAACCAAAGTTGTAGGTTCATTTCAAGTTATTGAAATTTAGAGCATTAAATTATCAATATTTAAGCTAAATACCAAATTAGACTCTGTGATTCAGTAGTTTTGCCAACACCAAGAGTGTATTGCATATGTTGTTGGAAAGTCTGCCTACTTTGACAAATCTTTTTGTGCAGGAATACTCGGAAGACAGCAATTCAGAACCGGACGTTGATCTGGAGAATCAGTACTACAACTCGAAAGCGCTCAAGGAAGATGACCCGAAGGCTGCTTTGGCGTCCTTTCAGAAGGTCCTGGAACTGGAAGGAGGTGACAAAGGCGAATGGGGTTTCAAAGCTTTGAAACAGATGATCAAGATTAACTTCAAACTTGTAAGTCAATGTTGTGTTTTATGTTAAGATTCAAATTTAACTACGGGCGGTAGGCCTACTATTTAACTTAGAAATGGCAACATTACGTATTTGTTCGGAAAATGCAAATAAGTTCCTGAAAAGTAAAGTTTGTAAGGTAAATGTACCGTTGACACTGAGCTTACTCAATAGATGCCACTTAACAAATCTAACTCCAATAACTTGGGCTACGAGTCAAGTCGCTATGGTTAAAAAACGAACCAGTAGTTGAGCCCTCATTAACTCGGGAGGACTCACATGCTGGTTTAAATGACCAGGTTGGTAATAATTTTAGTAAAACTTGTATTTAACGGACCTTGGCAATATTCACCGCCACCGTACCTCTCACATATCTTTCTTCCTGAAAAAACAAAAAGATAGGCCTATCCGTCTAATAACACTTGTAATAATATATTTACACTTATACTGTTGACTCACAAGACGGTAAATACATATAAAAGTTTGTAAGTGGTGATCTATTTCGATTGGACTCTCCAATCATCATCAGACCCAATAGGTGGAATCATGTTGCAGATCTCAGATTTAAACTCGCTTGATTGGCTGCAACAAAAGCACAATGGAGACCTACATTTACAAACAGCCATCCTATGCTCAACCAACATTTTCAGCTGTTTCAGAATATGTTACAAAGTAACTCAAATCCATAGAGTTTTTGAAGATGTAAATGTTTTATTTTATGTACGAGTATTGTATGTTCATGTACTAATGTGTTTTCTATTTTTATATGATTCCAGAATAACTATCAAGAAATGATGGTAAGATATAAGCAGTTATTGACCTATATCAAGAGTGCGGTTACGAGAAATCATAGTGAAAAATCTATCAACTCCATCCTTGACTATATCTCAACGTCGAAAAATGTAAGTTATTTAAATTGAAATGCTGTGTGTGGTATATTAGAGTCCATTCAAAATATTTTTGTATAATTTTATTTTAGGGACCTGAACTTACAAAGAGTTATAGAGTTGACTAGGCCTATAACCTACACTTTACCTACCTAACCTAACTTCAAAGGACTTAATGGAGCCACGAATCCGCATAAACCCCGACCTGCCTTCCCCTCATGACAAAGTGTTTAAAGAGACTTAAAGGTTTAAGTAATTTTTATGGTAGGCGTATGCAAGACATACTTTTGCCCCAAGACAACACTCTTTTTGGGACACAAAAATACGTCCATAGTAAGGTGTGTCCCAGAAATCAGAGGCATCACTTTTTGAGGCATTTTTATTTTATTGGTATGCATTGAACAATTTCAATGATTGATTACAATGCTCTAAAAACTTCTCAATCTGTATCAATTTGTTTCTTACAATCTTGTTTGCTAAAACTTCACAACAAATTTGATCAAGATCCTTTTTCTATTAATAAACTAATTTTTGCCGATTGTTTCAGATGGAGTTGCTACAAGACTTCTACGAAACTACCTTAGATGCTTTAAAAGATGCCAAAAATGATCGGCTATGGTTCAAAACAAATACGAAATTAGGAAAACTTTACTATGACCGAGGAGACTTCAACAAGTTGGCGAAAATCCTCAAACAACTTCATCAGTCTTGTCAGGTACAATAATTGGTTGTTGAGAAATGTATTTTTTATAGTTTAACAATATAAACGATTTTTTTTAACAAGTAGACAAGATGTAAACAATCGTGTCTTGCAAACAATGCTACACAATGGAAATGTTAATACAGTACACTTGGTGTGGTGACCATGATTCATCACAACGTCATAATGATTACTAAATCTGTGGTCTTGGCACTTTTGCATCTCTCTCATTTTTGATCATCTTTTGCAGTCGCAAAGATACCATCACCATCTAATTTTATAGTAAAATTGGCTGGTGATTGTTATCACTGGCTGGTGGGGTTGCGGCATTATCACTTAGATAAAATCCATTGGTGACTTGGCGGGGATCGAACCCGGGACCTCAGGGACTGAAGTCCTGTGCTCTAACCACTACACCAGCTCGCTCCCCACACAAATTATGTTGCTGACTGTCACTCTGATTAACTAACATTCTTGTTAGATACAGTGTGACAAATGGCATAAGTTTATCTTGTCAAAAACTAATTTAGCTTGATTAGGCTAGAGGAAAAATATACCTTTTCTCTCATTACTGCAATTTAGCCTTATTTTTTGTTATGATTTTTCTTTGCCCTTAGACGGACGAAGGTGAAGATGATCTCAAAAAGGGAACTCAGCTGTTAGAAATTTACGCTCTTGAAATACAGATGTACACTGCGCAGAAGAACAACAAGAAATTGAAAACTCTGTATGAACAATCCTTACACATAAAGTCTGCGATTCCTCACCCACTCATTATGGGAGTGATCAGAGGTAAGTTTAAAGGAAAGTTAATTTGCTGATAAGGAGTTGGGATAGCTTAATAGAGAACATCTATCTGTATTTCATACATACATCCTTTTCTGTTCTGGCTATCTCCAGGTCTGGGTGTTCACTATGCCTCCTCATCTTCTGTCCCTCAACAATTCCTCTTCCTCTACATAGCCATTGCACTCGTCTTGCTTCCACATCTGGTCTCACCTTGTCAATCCACCTTCTTCTATGTCCTCCTCTTGGTCCTTTTCTGTCTATGGGAAGCTCATTCAATTTTTGGGATCAATCCACCTTCTTCTATGTCCTCCTCTTGGTCCTTTTCCGTTCATGGAAAGCTCATTCAATTTTTGGGATCAATCCACCTTCTTCTATGTCCTCCTCTTGGTCCTTTTCCGTTCATGGAAAGCTCATTCAATTTTTGGGATCAATCCACCTTCTTCTATGTCCTCCTCTTGGTCCTTTTCCGTTCATGGAAAGCTCATTCAATTTTTGGGATCAATCCACCTTCTTCTATGTCCTCCTCTTGGTCCTTTTCCGTTCATGGGAAGCTCATTCAATTTTTGGGGTCAATCCACCTTAGGTCCTCTTGGTCCTCTTCCGTTCTTGGGAAGCTCATTCAATTTTTGGGGCCAATCCACCTTCTTCTATGTCCTCCTCTTGGTCCTTTTCCGTTCATGGAAAGCTCATTCAATTTTTGGGATCAATCCACCTTCTTCTATGTCCTCCTCTTGGTCCTTTTCCGTTCATGGGAAGCTCATTCAATTTTTGGGGTCAATCCACCTTAGGTCCTCTTGGTCCTCTTCCGTTCTTGGGAAGCTCATTCAATTTTTGGGGTCAATCCACCTTAGGTCCTCTTAGTCCTCTTCCGTTCATGGGAAGCTCATTCAATTTTTGGGAGGATTTGATCATTTTCCATTTTTCTTAAGTGGCCGAACCATGTCAATCTCGATTTCTTTACTCGTTTTCTCAAACCCTCATAAATTATTCCTCTTCTCAACTCTCATTCCCTAATTCTATTCAATCTTGTTTTCCCTTTTCAATACCTCTTACACACTTAAAACATTACCTTTATTGAGCTCCATTAATCTATTATAATCATCTTTAAAAACTCTTTGAGTGCTTGGCCAATAATTCGTATTTTGTAAGACTTTTCGTTTACTTTTTACTTACTTCTATTAAGCCTGTTGTTGGATTGTAACTGTTATGTTCTCACTATTTTAGATTGATAATGCTAATTAAAAAGAATAAGTCAATAAAAAAATATGTAACAACAGAGAAGTCTTGGTATTTGCAGTAGGCCTAAACATGATATAAAACTGTATTTTCATTGTAGATTTCCAAGTTTTCTTATAAATTGTAATGTTCTGATAGCATTATTTGAAACCAGAAGTCTCGTAAAATCAAGACATCTTGTTTACAACGTAATATTGAATTAAACCTTGATGTAGTTAGATAGTTAGATGTAGTTAGAATAGTTATTATAATATAGCCTTTTTTAGGGAAAAGCCTGTTTGCCAGTAAAACCGTTTATGCTCACTTTTGTGGTTCTACTGAAATATATCATCAAAAGAGTCCATGACTAGTGCTGTTTCCTAGTTATTTATTTTATTTTTGTCCAAGGACGCTAGGCTCGAGCCCTGAGTTGTTTTTCACATTACTTCAGGCTAGACCTAGGTGTTGCGGCATTATCACTTGGATAATATCCATTAGTTATTTGGTGGGATTTGAAACCGGGACCCTAGGAACCGAAGTCCCACACTCTAACCACTGGATCAGCTCGCTCCCTATAGCAAGAAAAACCAGTTTGCTAAAGCCTGCAAAAATAATGTAGCATCTTTATGTTGTGTATATAGCAAAATGCTAAAAATGCTACCACAGCTTAAACCTTGCTACAACCATTAGGGCATAGTAAGGTAGACATACACCTCGAATCATCATATTGGGGGAAACTTTAAGCTAAGTGGTTTTTAGTGTATCCTATAAACATAAAGGTCACCAATGGCTGATTTGCTAGTACTTTTTTGTTCAAATAACTCGTTTTAGCTTCTTCATATTTATATCTCTATGAGATTTTAGTAAACAACAATATATTGTTGCATAGCACTAAGAGTTAAGGTGGTAATGTTTGAATATTCGCTCTGTATTCAGGTTATTTACTCATACTAAACCGCTGATTTCAGAGTGTGGCGGCAAAATGCACCTTAGGGAAGGAGAGTTTGAGAAGGCTCACACAGATTTCTTTGAAGCGTTCAAGAACTACGATGAGAGTGGTAGCCCAAGAAGAACAACGTGTTTAAAATATTTAGTACTAGCAAATATGTAAGTACACTCCATATAAGTCTTGATCAATTATGTAGAACATTAACCCTCCGAGTGTCCATAGTTTAGGCCTTAATGTCCACCTATTTTTGGCGCATTTGCAAGGTTTTATTAAAACGGATCTGAGAAGCTTAAAACAATGTTAATTCTACTGTTCTATATGCCATTTTGTTTGGAAAATCATGGGCTTCAATATCATACATAAAACATAAGGAATATTTGTTTCAAAAAATTTTTTAGGTAAAAAAAATTATTTTGGAAAAATTGAAAAAAATAAATAAGTTCGTGCTCAATGGAATTGTATAAATTATAGGTCAACTTGGTATTTAGGCCTATAAATATGTGAAAATAGCCTCTTTGTTCTAAATTTTATGAGGATTACAAATATATAATAAGGAAGTAGATTTGCAAATAAATAAGTTATGGGCAAAAAACAGATTTCAGTACATAGCGTTTACTTAAGAATGCATAGCCTAACCATAGCTAGGAATCTGGCTGATAATTAACATCAATGTCACTACCAACTTCATCCGGATCGTCAATAAGTCCTTCAACATCACTAATATCATCTTCTAGTGCATTACATATATCACTACTGTCCATTTTTACCACTAAAAACGACGATAAACGTACAAAAACACACAAGTCACCGATGTGAAATAACCAAGTTGTCTAAAACACGAACGTCAGCTGTCTGCTACAATTACGATCGGCTCGGAGAACATAAAGCGCTTAGAGACAGACCTCTGGAGAAAGCTTAGAATCTAACGAAAAGAACGATACCTAACTCGATCCAGTTCAATCCGATTCAGTCAGTCATAGAGCCTTCGCCGTAAACGATGTTCGTGTGTCGAAAAATCGACGCGTGACACTACACAAAGTGTGTCGTGAGTCGATTTTTCGACGAGTGACGCTCGGAGGGTTAAACTTTCACTTCAGAACCATATCACAAAACATGCTGAAACAGTACCTGTCATGTGATACAACCTTAATCAATTTTAGAACTAGTAGAATTCCAGTTATCTGAACTCCAAATACCTCAATTGCTTTCAGAAAGAATTGAAAAAACTACACTATTAAAGAGTTGATATAAATTAAAGAAGGCAGTAGCTGTAATTGTGTTGAAAGTCCTGAACATCTCATGGTCGTGTAGACATCATTATCATCTCCCACTGCAATGGTTGTCTCTCTTGATTGTAGCAAAATCTTGATTATCCTTCGCGGTCATGAAGACGTCATCATTGTGTCCTTCAGTCACAGAAACATCATCAACGTTTCCCTGATTGTGTCAAAATCTTAAAACACTTTCTGTGGTCTTGTATGCATCGTCATCTCCCGCAATCACGGAAAAGCATCGTCTTCCACAACCGCGGCAAAAGCATGAGTTTTTCAATTGCAAAATTGTTGCAGCCATTTTTACAGACGTATGCAATTGCAATAGTAAAAGCTCGGCTTGATTTGGCTTATTTTCTATAGGCTCGCAATTGGGTAAAAATCGAACTATTGAAGTGTGGTTTGATCCATATTGATTTGTATGATTGGAGTTCTACTGTGCTTTGCTAGAGTTTTTTTTGACCAGGTTGCTTGTGGTTGTCTTCTTGGCCAGGAGACATCACTGTGACTTTGTCTGGTCTGGGGAGTACAACTGTGTGTTGGAACTAGGAGGAAGAGAACCACCTAAAATAAACGGTGGTTTGTAAGGAAGTCAATGGAATAGGTGGATTGTTCATGAATTGTGCATATTATCAGTCATTTTACTAATTTTACTCGGCATCCTACTGTGTGTCTATATCTGTGATCTTATAACCAGTATGACCGGTGTTCATGGTATGGTCCATGTTTGTGTGTTGTGGGGTAGTACAGGTTTGAATAAGATGAAGTCAGACAAAGATTAAAGAAAAGAATTGTTGAGGATCTCAAAAGGTGTGTGATTTCCTGGAGAAGAGGTTCCCATATTGCTCAACTGAGAGTTGAATGTGACATGAATACAGTGCAATAGCCTTGATCTCTATGTTTTTGTGTCAAGCCTGGAACTTTTGTGACTGTAATTTTTAATTCTTTTAGTTTGACAATAACTGACTTAATGATTTTTCAGGTTAATGAAGTCTGGCATCAATCCGTTTGACTCACAGGAAGCCAAGCCGTACAAGAACGACCCAGAAATCCTAGCCATGACTAATCTAGTTTCGTCCTACCAAAACAATGACATAAATGAATTTGAAACCATTCTGAAAAAGCATAGGAAAAACATAATGGACGATCCCTTTATTAGAGAACACATAGAAGGTAAGTTTCGCTTTGGATGGAATTTACTTTTGCAATTACCATAAAAGTTATCAGACTGCAGTTAATCCAAGGCACCGGCAGAGCTAGGTAGCTGAGTGGTCATAGTGCTCGTCTATCTGATATTTAGAAGGTCGCCAGTTCCGTCCTGAGAATCCAAACTGGATCCAACTGTTCTTAATTACAGTGTTTTTGAATGATCTTGGTCAAAGAAACAGCAAGTCCTAGTAATAAAGCTGCACATGCACCTCCTGTGCAGACGGCTAGCTTACTTTTAGAGACCAGGGGTTAATAAAAACAAAAAAAAAGTAATAGAACATAGAACATACACTGATAATAAGAAATTTCTGTTTAAAGTAAGCCAGCATAACTCAATTCCCTTTCAAAAAATACGAGGGCTATCCAGAAAGTAAAGAACGTTACGTTATGACGCCGCTAGGGGCGCCGATCTCGTACATTTTGGTGCGTGCGTACTCGGCAACTCAGCCGGCATCCAGCCGTGACAATTGGAGCATTTTCGCGCTGCCCGTTTTTTCACAATTTCAACTTAAGATGAGCGCTGCGATAAAAAATGCCGCCAGTTAAGGGGTGCGGTCAGTGATACGGTTTTTGTTGCGAAACACTTAAAACCGAAAATTCTCCTCAAGTTTCACGGACTTTGTGGTTTGAAATTGTCACACAACAAAGCGAAAGACCCGTTATTGGGAATCGGCGGTTGTTGCGAACCTTTTCATCAACTTTAGCGACCAGTTTCATCAGTCACAATGCTCGGGCGTCCGCCCTTCGCTTCGTCATGACTCATGAGCGTCAGATCGGCCATTTTTAATCTGAATGCACCATTTTCTCAGATTTTCAATCATCAAGTTCTTTTCCTTAAACTTCATACACTTGGAGATAAATGTCTATCGATTTTAAGTTTACTGTCAACACAAACCGTATCACTGACTGCATCTATTAAATGTCGGTATTTTAAATCGCAGCGCTCATCTTAAGTTGAAATTCTGAGAAACCGGGCAGTGTGAGAACGCCCCAATTGTCACAGCTGGATGCCGACTGAGTTGCCGAGTACGCACGCACCAAAATGTACGAGATCGGCGCGCGCCTAGCGGCGTCATAACGAAACGTTCTTTACTTTCTGGATAGCTTGAGTACTTAAAACTTATTTATATTTTTAAATCAACAAAAAGTTTTTGTGTTACTTCTCAACCCTTGGATCAGTTTCTAACACAATTTCTCTATTGCAGACCTTCTGAGGAACATCAGGACGCAAGTTCTAATCAAGCTGATCAAGCCTTACACCAGGATCCACATCCCCTTCATCTCCAAAGAACTCAACATCGACGCCAGCGAAGTCGAGAGTCTCCTGGTCTCCTGCATCCTTGACAGGTATGTTGAATATAGGACAGTCTGCGGGTCAAACTGTTTTACTTTGGGCTGCATTGGAAAATATTGATTTATAAAAATATTGGGGATGTTTTGATTCTCAATACCACCGATTCTTTGGTATCTGTATCCGTATTGATAAGTGATTGTCAAGCGTCGATATTGATACTGATGGGTGACACATGTGTTAAAATTGCACAATTGGAAAACCTTTGCGGGGATCGCAGATTACAACAATGACGTTTCCGTCACTGTGGGAGACGATGTTGTTCACACAGCCGTAGGGAATATTCAGGATTTTACAGCGACAACTGAAACGATGATGATCTCTTTATGCGCGTTGAAGATAGTTAAAATTTTCTGCAACTATGGAAGATACTGATAATGTCCACACGACTGTCCTCCAGGAGATGATCAGGATTTTGCCTTGTAGATAATGATGTCTACACGACCATGGGAGATATTCAGGCTTTGTCAAAGATCGTGGAAGACTATGCTGATGTTCACGTGACCGTGTTATATCATTTTGCCGCTTTTGTGGGAGATGATGAGGTCTCCATAAAGACCGTGGATATATTCAATATATTGCTGTGAACATGGAAGACTAAAACGTTTAATTAGACCGAGGGAGGTGCTAAAAACCTCTACACAAAACCGGTAGAAGATCAGAATTTTGTCGCAACTGCAGCAGAAGACAATAGTGACTGCAGGAGATGGTCTAAATCTGTCCGCTATGGCTGAAGACAATGACAGTGCATTCACGACCGATGGAGATACAGTAAAAACTCACTAACTCAACAATTTGTGGACCCAGAGTTTGTCGAGTTTGGGGGTTGTCGCGTTATCCAGAACATTGAAATTTCTATTTTGTTTTTAATACCGTAAATGAATAGTTAACAGACAAATTTTTATTTTTACATATAAATTTATTACTTACATGATTATTTTTACATATTCAGTAAACAATCTTCATAGAAATATCAAATATTAAGCATCTAAAACTTGAAAATAGTAAGACAAAGCCAGTTAAACATGTTTCCTGTCAGCTGTTGACTGTCGAGTTAGTTAGGTTTTACCTGTTTTACTGTATTTAAGACTTTTACGCTGGAAGACGATGGTGATGTTTCTGTTACTGTGTGATTATATGAATTTTGCCATAATCGCGGTGGATGAGTATGTCTACATGGCTGCGGGATTTTATCTTGATATCACATGAAGCTCAGCTTGATAAAAAATTTCAGAGTGGCACAGCTCTAGTAAAAATAACATGTTCATTTATTATATTCGATTGTGAGATCTTTGTTTACCTATGATATGGAGTTTATTTAATGTGGTTTGAAGGGAAATTTGATTTGGCTAGCTGGAATTTGTTGTTGCTGTTTTAATTTTTCCTCTTGAGGAATTTCCCCGTTCCCCTTGGGATTCGATTTATTGAGTTTCCACTGTACTACACTATCCTATTCTACTTATTTGGCCTTATAAAATTGCCCTAGCTTATCTCTAAACATATTTCTAAGCTTTAAAAACAAATCCATTTTTATTTTACCGTGTTTATTTTTTGTTGCAGCACGGTCAGAGGAAGGATTGACCAAGTGAACCAAGTGCTTGAGTTGGACAAAGAGAGTGTTTGTGGTGCAAGGTACAATGCACTGGACAAATGGACCAACCAGTTGGCGTCGTTACACCAAGCGGTGGCCAACCGGATGTGGTAGAGCGGAACCGGTTGTTGTACCCAACGTTACTGGGTGCAACCGGTGCTGGCTACGGTCGTGTCACTCAAATCAGTTGCATGTTTCAATGCTTACCAGTGCTCTCAAACTGCCAGCATATGAGTTAGGCCTAATTGTACTTGTAACTGTTAGGTTTTGTTTGTCAACTGATACCGAAATTGGTGTATTGCAGATTTGGGATTTCTCAAAAAGAGAGTTCAGCTGGAATTTTAGAGAAAATAAGAACTCAGGGGCTAATAATAGAGATGCTCAATTAAAGGTCACAAAAATAACAAAGGTATTTTGTCCTCATTTAAACTGTGCAGATGAGTTATAATTCCCTATATTTTGTTTGATTGGGGCTTTGTATTACTTAAAGCTTTACATTTAATCAAATTAAGTTCCCAAATTACCAGAAAAACCTACAAATGCCATAAGTTTATGTACAGTATTCTTAAGTTTCTCTCGGTAATCACTGTAATATTCAAATTTTACCAAACTAGATAAAAATCACTTTTTCTAGAAATTTGTATTCTAAAGTTTCCCAAACTTGTCTTTGAAAGTATTGTCTTTCAAAGTATTGTCTTTGAAAGAATAAAAATGTAAGATATGTTCATAAAGGCATAAATTGTGTTCACTGGTAAGTGTGGTGATAATTGAGAATCTAATTGAGAAACATGTAACAAGTTTTGAGTGTCGCAACTTTGCTGGTATCGGTGACATCGTAACGTATCGATTGGGACTGTTAATAAGTGATGTACAGATTTTTTAATTTTAACACAGTAAGGAATTGTATAAAAGTGTAATATGTCACCGCTATCGCTGCTGCCGGTGTATGTTTTATAACGTTAGGTTCTACAACGTATTGAAGACTCGATCATAGTGTATATTAATTTATTTTCAATTAAATTGTTATATTAAATTTTGCATTTTGTGTTATGCATATATTTTCTTTGCTCTCAATGGTTTTATTTTCAGTTACCGTTTGTTGTTACTTGGAAATATATTCTTGAGAGTGGTTTTTATTCCTGGTTTCTCTGTATGTTATTATTCAAACATTTAAAACTAATAATATTTAATATTTGTTTTATATTATGGACAAACAAGCCTCAAGGAAATAAATCTAAAATCCTGGTGTTTTACAAACTTACAGCTAAAATTCCTACTATCTATTTGACCATGATTTTCATGCAGGTACCACACTTTAATCAGAAAAAGTTGAAAAATCTGTCCAATCTGACATTTAGTCACTGTCACATCTTTTTGCCATCTCTTCAACCACCTATCAAAGAAAGGTATCCGACCCCAATTTTTTTATCTAGTAATCCAACAACCGCAATGAGCTGCACCCTAGCACGTAGATCTAGCCAACTGTAAAGTATGTGACGGGACCTTGGCATGGCGTCAGTTCGTTGTGGCGGCCACCAAACGTGAAACTGAGTACGTAGTGTTTCTCGTGTTATTGTGCTAAGCAAAATGACGGGACATGTGGAACAGCGGTACTGCGTTAAATTCTGCCAAAAACTGGATGATACCCTAGCTCAAACGATTCTTAAGATTTGCTATTGGTGTATCACAGATATAAGAGTGGTACAGTAGATCCTCGATAGTTTGACACTTTGTGGACTTAAGGGATGTCGAACTATAGGGATCAAACGGAGTTTAATATACAGGAAAGTAAAAACAAAAGTCTTACATAGAAATCACCCAAATTTATGAAATACTAAAAAGCTTAACAATTTCACTGTTTATTAGTTAAGTCCCAAGTCAACAATAAGTGACAAATCAATAAGTCAGCTTACATCACAATAGTTAACCACTAAACAATTATCACTTGACAAAATAGCTCAGCCCATGTCAAACTACAAGGAGTGTCGAACTATCGAAGGTTTGCTGTACAACAGATTCAAAGATGGCTGCACTTTGTCAACAGTGAACCATCAACAAATATATTTCTGGGAGACTATCAACAAGTCAAAAACTATAAAGTAATCGATCAAGTTCACGTTTAGATATGGCATACGAAGAACAATAAGAAATACAGAACTTAGAATAGTATTTGTTCAGTTCATTCAATTTTAACGGAAGATTTGGTTATGCGCAGAGTTGCTGCAAAAATTTTTCTGTAGAACTTGAATGATGATAAAAAGTAATTGTGGCTTGAAATTGCTCAAGACATGCGGGAATGCGTTCAGAATGGTCCAAACTTTGAAACTTTCTCAAAACAGTAAGTTGTGATGAGTCTTGGGTGTACGGGTATGATTCAGAAACCAAGGCATAGTCTTCTCAGGGGCCAAAAAAAGCACACCAAGTTTCAAGCAAAATCTAAGTCATGTTGACTGTTTTTCCTACTGCAATTGAGTAGTTTATCATGAGAGCGCACCAGAGGACAACCCATTACTAAAGAGTACTAAGCTACTTAGAAGTTATAAGCCTCATGTGCGATGCAGTTCGTCCCGATTTGTGGGCCACAAACTCTCGGAGGCTTCATCAGGACAAAGTTGCAGCGCATTCTTTCAAACTTCTTGTTCAAGGCTTCTTGGCAAAACATGGTATTCCTGTGCTACGCCAGACCCCTTACTCACCGGATATGGCACCGTGTGACTTATCGATCCTAAACAAGGTCGAATACTTTTTGAACAGACCTCGTACATAACTATCTGGATCGATACACTTTTGAATAGCTGATCCAAGCTATGTCTATGTGAAATTATACTATCTCACTCTTCAACAAAAGGCTGCATATGGCAAAAACAAAGCTTTGGAGGAATGCCTATATAGACAGAAGTAGTCTTTGGTTAATGTGGTTTTAGAATATTCAATTATTGGAATGTAAGTCTCGTCTATTCGTTACTAAATTCATGTGAATTTACCATTTACGGTTTTCCTCTTCAGATATCTACAGGCATGGAAAATGCTTGAGTTCTTGCATATTAGGATTGTATGTTTCTTGGATTATACTAGATAGAGAATGAGACATAAGTAAAAAGTGAAATTAACTGTTGAAGGCCTGGACCATATGGCGACAAAGGGTAAGCCCTCCGTCTCATTACTAGCCCATTAAACATCTCAGCAACAAAAATAAAGATACTTTATGAAACTTTCTTATGTTTTGGCTAGCTGTTGTACCAGTGCTTCGCAATGGGAAGATGTACTATACCACCTAATCCGTTAAGTAGTTCGAATTTATAAACAAAAAGCCACAAAATTTTATACAAAAAGGTAAAGGTAGGTACTTTGTTTGACCTACTGTTTACATGAAAATATATCAATAACATTATTTTCATAAGACACTAATAAATCAAAAGCAGAGCCTCAGCCTGGGTTGATACAGCAATGGTTGTAGAATATTTTTTTAATTCCATAATTAATTGCATAAAATAATAGTTTTAGAATAAATAATCTGTGACAAAGTTTTAGAATAAATAATCCATGAACAAGTTTTAGAATAAATAAACCTATACCACATGGTTATGTAAAATATTATATTTAATTTGTTTGGATTAGCTGTCTGAAATTGTAAGCATTTGGCAGTTCTGATTGTTTACATTGAAATGTCAAGGCAAAGGTAATTAATAATTGTGAATTTTCTCATGATTCCATGGAGACCAATTAATATTATTTACTTTTGAAAACCTCACCTCAAAACTTTGGACATCTAAGGGGCGCCAGGAACTCAGGAAGGTGAATAGGCCTAAGGCATTCCTATATAAGTAGACCATATATTTTGTGCTTTTGCTTTATTTTGGCTGTCTTGGTTTAGTATTTTTAGTCATGAAAGCTGCCCAGACACTGACACCACCTCAATTTTTACAATAGTATATACCGTAGATATAGATAGACATTAAATGCAAATTGTAGAATGGCCATAATAGGTTTGATGATACCACTTTTGGATACTGAAGTATATCAGTACCAAACATCTCATCTGAATGGACTAGCTGTTACAATTTTTTTTATAAAAAGATAACAGTTCTGTGAGTGAATCATATTAATTCTGCTAGTGTTAAAAATCTATTTCTACTGTATTGTCTCTTGTTATTGAGAATAATCGACATAAAAGGTTCTACAGCTTACAATAATAAGTCATCCTATCAGCTTGATTTGGAAAAATATTCTACAGGAATCAGTGATTTACTTCAACACAATCAGTTGGTGGTTCCCTTCAACTAAATACATTTTAAAACTAAGGGATGGTATGTTCTATCAATCAATAGTCAAAGATATAAGTCCAAACTGGGTAGCTAGTTAAGAGTGCTCGCCCAGTCATCAAGAGATCACGGGTTCAATCCTGAGAAAAGTTAGTAACTTTTTGATCGTTAAAAACTTGCGTGTGCTCCCACTATCTCCGCGTTCCGCCATCTCCGAATTCTTGAGCGACCCTTATAATCCCGTCACTGCCTGCGTTGTTAGCTGTCATTGCATCCACGGCTGCGAAGCCCCGAGGATGGAAGATTTAATGAAAATTTAACCCGTGGGTTAGGTTAGGTTTGGTTAGGTTTGGTTAGGTTAGGTTAGGTTTGGTTAGGTTAGGTTAGGTTAGGTTTGGTTAGGTTAAGTTAAGTTAAGTTAGGTTTGGACGGAAAATCTTAACGCAGGAAGTAACCGAGGATTATAGGTGTCACTCTGAAATTCGGAGGTAGCGGTACACGGAGATAGCGGGAGGTAACCAAAATGGCTGATTATCGTTAGGCGTTGGCTTTTAATGAATAGTTACTTTGTCAGTGTAGTAAGCTACGCAGATTCTGTTTTTATAATCTGAAATGAAATTAAATGCTTTATTGTCGTTAAAACTAAGTACAAAGTTCATGACAATCGTCAAAAGAAAAATAAAACAAGAAAAACAAAACAATCTGCATACATATTCAGTTTTAATGTCTACTTTAACACAAGTACATAACTGTCTTGACAAAGTTTTCAAAAAGTGATAGTAATTTGATATTTAACTGTAGTAAAAGTAAAAGCGAGAAAAGAGAAAACTGAAAAAGAATTAGAATAAAAATTAACACAATGTAAGAATATGTCAATTTTCCCCCCACATAGTCAAGAACAGCTGGGTTCGGGTCCAGTTTCCATCAACATCAACCTAAAAGCGACTGGGTTTTCATAATCGAACCAGCGACTATTTTGTCTTTTATGAACCTCTTAGTTGAAATAGACGCTTAACACAAGCATAGAGCAAAACATAGGTTTCAATTCTGTACCAGCTTGAACCAAAACAGAATATTTTTTTTGGACCAGGAACTAAATTTTCTTAACAGTTGAAGAGTTCTTTGAGACAGATCATTTTGAAACCCAAACTTCTTTATAAATTGCTGCCTGATCTCGATCATCATGTTTTTAACACAAGTTGAGAATGAGAAATCTTCTCTCAACAAAATTTTTTACGTTTGGCTGGAATCCAATAAATTACTGTAGTAATAATAGTAATGCAGATTATAATAGATTGTTAAAATATTTTTTTGGGATTAGCATTTGATTTGTGTAATCCTAGAAATATTAGGTAGTCATATAGATCTTAAATTAGTTTAAATTTTAAATAATAGGGCCTACACTCACTGATTCTGTTAGAATTCAAAGATGTATTGAAATGCAATAATTTAACTAGACGTTAGAAAACTGAAATTCTTATTTCAAGCACTCTTGTATATTATGTGACACTCACTAATCAGGTCATGTGGTCAAGTTATGCTCTCAAATTAGATTCTATTTTTTCTACCAAGGAGAAAATCTGGGGTAATGGCCGGGCAGGATTGCAGTTTTGAGACGGGATTATAAGGGCAAGAACGTGGTTCACATACGAACGGGTCGTAGACCTTACAGTGTTGCCAATAATGTATAAAATTAACGAACAAAATTAATTTTTGGTGAGATTACGATATTGTAAAAACATTTACTTTTATAGGATGAAATCTTTTTTTCTTGTTTAATGATACTGACATCGTGTTCAATTTATTTCTCGTTTGAAAATACAATGGCGTTTTCTGTAGGCTACACTGTACAACGATTAAAATATTAAGACGTT